AAATGGACTTTGGAATTGATAAATGTAAAACACAACACATCACAGCTGGTAAAAGACAACTTTTAGATTATGAGCTAGAACAGGGTAATTTAATAAATTCCATGGACGAGAATGAAACTTATAAGTATCTTGGTTTTCAGCAAAATACACATATTAAACATACGAGTATAAAACAAACACTTATCACACAATACCTACAAAGAGTACGCAGTATACTTAAAACAAAATTACACGGTAGAAATACAATCAAAGCTATTAACACTTATGCCATACCAGTGCTTACATACTCTTTCGGGATTATACGTTGGACAAATACAGATTTAGAACAAATACAGAGAAACACACGAACACTATTAACAAAACACCATATACATCACCCTCACTCCTCCAGTATACGACTTTACCTTCCTCGTTCGGAAGGAGGTAGAGGACTTACAGATATAAAACTATTACACCAAACACAAATACACAATTTACGACAATACTTTTATAACAAATCAGATACTTCAGTCTTACACAAAACAGTAACATATGCAGACAAATCTTACACACCACTTAACCTACACGAAACTAATGTACTCCCACCCACATCCAAACTTACATACATCACAAATAACATACAGACATGGAACCAAAAGCCTTTACATGGACGATTTCCACAAGAGGTTGGCCAGGATTGTGTTGACTCTATAGCAACGCACAGTTGGTTGTCTGAATGTGATGTCTTCCCGGAGACTGAGGGTTTCATGTTAGCAATACAAGACCAGGTCATTAACACACGCAACTATAAAAAAACACATACATAAAGATAAAACAGTGACAAATGATTCTTGTCGACTTTGTTCACAAACATCAGAAACAATCCAACATATAATATCGGCATGCACACGACTTGCACAAACTGAATACAAACATCGACACGATCAGGTAGCTAAAATCATACATCAAAAATTAGCACTTAAACACAATCTCAAAACAGATACGACACCATACTACAAATACACGCCACAGATCATACTCGAAAACAACACACACAAATTATATTGGGACAGGACACTACTCACAGATAAAACTATCCACAATAATAGACCAGACATTACACTTATAGATAAAACACAAAAATCCATTTGTATTATAGACATTGCCATCCCCAACACTAACAACTTAACTAAAACACATGCAGAAAAACACCGCAAATACACCGATATAGCTATCGAGCTTAAGACGCAATGGAGAATGAAATCTACTGTTATAGTTCCCATTATTCTTAGTGCTACTGGAGTTATACCAAAGACAATACACAACAATTTACAACTATTAGGTTTAGACAAAAACACATACAAACATTTACAAAAAGCAGTCATTATCAACACATGCCATATTGTTCGTAAATTTCTAAACATAACACAAGATACTACATACAGAAATGATCCACAACGTATACATGTAAACAACAGTACTCGCTCACAACACGGTACACAACATACTGTAATATCTCCACCTCTAACCCAAACAGACACACAAATACAACTTACCGAACAAACAAGTACAACAAATGATACAACATATACTACAATCAGAGATTCACCTCTGAAGCAAACCACATTATCACAATCCATTAGTATTCAACCCAAACGCAAAAGCCTAAACAGCACTTTAGACTCACAACATGACACACAACATACTGTAATATTTCCAAACTTAACTCAACCAACCACACAAACACAACTTCCTGAACAAACAAACGCAATAAATACAAGTAACGCAACACGCACTACAAAGACGCCCTCACCCACACGACCTAGCACATCTGAAAAACACAATACTCTTTCTTCTCAGAAACACACCACGTTATCACAAACACAACCCACTCGTACTCAACCCAAACGCAACAACCTTAACACAGGCTCACAAAATACTGTAATGTCTCCACCAATAACCCATGCAACAACAGAAATACAACTTCAAGAACAAAGAAACACCATAAATACAACTAACGCAACATGCACTACAAAGACAGGTCCACCCAATAAAATTACACGCCCTAGCACAGTTAAAAAACACATAACTCCTTCCTCACAGAAACACACCACATTTTCACAACCCACTCGTATTCAACCGCAACGCAAAAACCTTAACAGAACTACAGGCTCACAACATACTAAAATATCTCCACCTAAAACCCAAGCAACCTCTCAAATACAACCTCAAGAACAAAGAAACATCATAAATACAAGTAACGCAACATGCACTACAAAGACAGGTCCACCCAATAAAGTTACACGCCCTAGCACAATTAAAAAACACATAACTCCTTCTTCACCGAAGCACACCACGTTATCACAACCCACTTGTATTCAACCCAAACGCAAAAACCTATACAGCACTACTAGCTCACAAAATACTGTAATATCTCCATCAATAACCCAAGCAACCTCACAAATACAACCTCAAGAACAAAGGAACACCATAAACACAAGTAACGCAACATGTACTACAAAGACAGGTCCATCCAATAAAGTTACACGCCCTAGCACAGTTAAAAAACACAATACTCCTTCTTCACAGAAACAACCCACTCGTATACAACCGAAACGCAAAAACCTTAACAGCACCACAGGCTCACAAAATACTGCAATATCTCCACCAAAAACCCAAGCAACTTCACAAATACGACCTCAGGAACAAAGAAACACCATAAATACAATTAAAAAACACAAAACTCCTTCTTCACAGAAGCACACCACGTTATCACAACCCACTCGTATTCAACCCAAACGCAAAGCCAAAGAAACACTTACACAATAAACTCCATTTAATAAAATTACAGGAATTATTATAATGAATTTTTTTGTTTTGTTTTGTTTTCCTCTTTCCTGATAGCGTTGGCTATTGTGCCCATCAATAGGTATGTTGGTAAGTACGAATTACATTATCCCTAGATGTCCAATGTACGTGTGTGATTTTTTTTTTTTTTTTTAAGGACCCTACATAACTTCACCAGACACAGACACAGACACTAATCGTTACTTGATTTTTAATCCGTGCGATTAGTTAACCAGGCTAGACCTGAGTTCTCACAAGAAACACCGATAATAATTTTATTTAACCTTTTTGTTTCCATTTCTAAAATGTAAAGGTAAGTCATTAACTATTATGTAATATAAAAAATGATTAATCTATAATATTATTACAGTTCAAATAACATACCACAGATAACGTACAACAGATAACGTACAACAGATAACATCTATGACTTCACACATTCTTGGAGCGAGTAATAGCAATTGTTGACTAGATAGATTCTAAGTGCATTTTTGTACTGATTTTTATTTTTTATTTCTTTTATTTTTTGTGGTAGAGCATTGTACAAGTAGCAACCTGCGTAATGTACCGATTTTTTGAAACTAGTGTGATTGCATTTAGGTAAGTATATATTGTGCCCAGTTCTAGTTGAATACTTATGATTATCACAGTTACGTTTAAATAGCTGTATATTTACATGTATATATATGTTAAAATTTTATATAAATATATAGATATAAATGTTAAAAGGTGGTGAGTTCAGTATATATTGTCAAAATTAATACTTAAATTTTGATTCCAGGTTTTATATCTTTTATCCTGGGTTAAGTGAAAGTCAAATAAATACATCTACTATCAAACATTAAAAATATAGCTTACAGGGTATTTTTTTGGTTGGTCCAATGTTGCAAAACTTCATATTAAAAAATCTCACTTTTTTAAATGGAACACCCCGTATATTTTTCTGTCATCATTTAGCTCCTCTAAAAACTTTCAACTTTTGATAATAATGTCCTATACCTATCTCTGATAGTTTTCGAAACATCTAGGTTTTCCTGGAAATTCAAAAATGCATTCAAATACAGGGAGTTCTATTTAAAAAATGTACCATTTTGGCGCCCTATTTTGTGGGCGCACCCTGTATATTTCCAAATATTTTTAAAATGTGGAGAATATTCAACCATATCATAATACAAAAGCACTCTATCGAAAAATCTTATCCTCAAGGCATTAAATTACTCCGTGCAATCGTTGACTCACCCTGTACATCTATAATATACACTATAGAGGTTGAAATCGTTCGTTCGTACTAAATAAAATTGGTCCTCTACGGTACTGGTAAGAATTTTCATATACGGATTACATAATAAATAATTGAAAATATTGCCAAACTAAGATCGAGTCAATTCCATTCTCTTTTACACTTATGATTTCAAATCTGCTTCATATAATTACAAAACATTCCCTATCTCGTAGCGACGTATTAGTTCTAATTTCCCTTTAAATTTTGTTAAGCGTTACGTACTTCATTTTCGAAGTTCAATCCGCACAAGCTTGGCCTATTTTTATGATGTTGAATAATGTACCTTTCTAAAAAGGTATCAGAAAATCAAAATAGATAAAGGCCCAAAAATTTCGTGGAAAATAGAAAATATGCCCAATTGGTATTCAAGCACGATTAGAACGTTGTGCGCGGGTGCACCATCCTGTTGGAACCAACAGTTCCAACTTTGGTTTTTTTGTGTGCGCCGTACATCTTTGTATTCGTAGTTAAAAGAATGCTATTCATTACAGTATGTACCTTTTTTACGGACCATGTAAAAAATAAAGTTGATGGCGATTTTTCCGAAACGAAACGTTTTCTCTCAAGGGTGTCTTGTAGAACTCAAATAATGACAATGAGATTTCAATTACGTATTAATTGCTTCGAATCTTCTATGGTTTCTGAGATCCCCACTATCTTGGACACAGTGTATATTTCCTTAATGCAAACAAACTAAATTGTGTGCTCATCTTGTTTTGCTTTCTTTTCGGTTAAGGTGGTAAAGAAAAATATTCATATATCTTCAATTTCGTGGGTAAAAAGGTAAAACACTTGGCTTTGATGCACAGGAACAACAATTTAGTCATCCTCTTTAATTTACACGCCTTTTATAGTGATCCAAGTTTTCCAACAGAATTCATTAATATTGCAGAATAGCTGTCCTTAATAACTACAATCAAAAGGAGAGCGCTCAGCACAAATCCAGAGATAACAACGTCAAATTTGGACAAAACAGCTCTAGATACTTTGCGGAGTTTTGTGGATCGACCAGCATACATGGACTCAAATATTTAAGAGAACGCGACCGTTATGTGATCGAAAAGTAAGTGAATAGTATTTTGGATTTTACTATCGAGACGTTTGCAGAATATGGTGGATCATAGTAGTTTCCATAGCGACAGTCGGAGCGTTTTCACTTATTTACAAAACGTACATGAAGTGGACCACCTCGCCCATAGTGGTAACTCTTGCCAAAACCGAAACGCCCATTTGGAAAATTCCCTTTCCGGCCGTCACAATATGTCCCGAATTGAAATCTAGCCCAACCGTCTTCAACTGCACGGACGTCTACCTGAAGTATCTCAACAACTTGGAGACTACCGAAACCGAGTACGTATCTTTCCGGTCACACCTCGTACGCATATCATCGCGTTACCGGGGTGTTATGTAAAGGTGAAGGTGAAGGTCTGAAACAATACTATTAGCTAATTAGCGGATCACATACCTAGCAAACCGTAAAGTATGGGTAGAGGAGACGGAAGGTTAATGAAAATGATTAGTGTAATTTGTTCCGATAACACGATAGCGAAATTAAATAATTACCTACTGTTTCAGGAGGGAGAACTATGAACTCTTCTCCTTGATATGCGATTCGAAATTAAAATTTCTGGACGGGAACACTACCGAATTTTTCAACGAGACGCAAATACATCATTTAGTGAAGGTAATTGCATTTTTGCTTGCAGTTTTTAATTTGCACCTACTTGTATCTGGTATCTCCATCCTTTTTGTTATTAAGCGGCAGAGCAAAGCGATGCAAGTTTTATAGGGGAGTCGATGGTGTCCATCTGTCCGTGAACACGATAACTGTCAAACGCTTGGACCGATTTGGTTCAAACTTTGCACAGTTGACCTATATGCCACAAGTAATAAGCCTCTTGAAAATGGGTCAAATCGAATGACCCCGTAGGGTCACGCCTCTCTGCCTCTGGCAAACGCTTGAACCTATTCGGTTCAAACTTTGCACCGTTAACATATATACCACATGTAACAAGCCAATTGAATCCTATGACTCCGTGGGGTCACACCGAGGTGCTCTGCCGATTTTTTAAACGCTCTTTATGGGTTTATTTCAATTGTAAACCTATAGGTACCGACTGTGGAAGTGCACGATCAGTTGTCGTAAGTTTTTTCGTACCTTGGTCTTGTAGGGTGACAAATTGATAGTAAAGCCTCTTGACAAAATCTCAACCCACGATTGTTATTATAATTAATAATAAATTTCAAACATAAATTCAACGTGAACGTGAAGTTGGAAAGGAAAGGAATTCAGTTCTAAGTATCTCATAATTTTGTGCTCATTTTGTGCTAATTTGTGCTGGTAATTTAAAATTTTGTGCTCGTCAGGTTAATGAGTAGGTAATTCAACATTTTCTGATGATACTCCTACTTAATTCACGCTGTAGTATCAACATCGATTTTTTCAAAATTTTCTTTTACTATAATTTTGTGCTCATTTTGTGCTAATTAATTTGTGCTGCTAATTTAAAATTTTGTGCTCATCATGAGAAATTCAACTTTTTCATGATACTCACTTCACAACTTCGCTCTGTAGTGTCAACATTGGTATCTCCAAAATTGTTTATTGCATTAATTTGGCCTCATTTTGTGCTAATTTGCTCTGCTAATTTACAATTTTGTGCGAGACACGGTATCGATATTTCAAATTTTTTGGTATGTGCCTCCAGTTACGTATCTGTGTACAGTGTGGTCCAATTTCGATGGAATTAAATGCAGTTTTTAACGTAGATAATCAATGCCGCCAGTCGTTTGTAGACCTTTTAGTAACTGCGCTGCAACACAAAATTGATTTTTTTATGGAAATTATAGTTGACCAACTTTTGTTATTAACTTTCAGGCACGATGTATTAATAAGCAAAATTTATGGTAGAAAACTTATTGAAAATAAGTATGATATATTATACATTTTGGAAAAGCGCGTAAAACAATAAATATTTTTAAACCATCGTAAACTGTACCTTTATTTAAAAAAAAACCAGGTGTCAAATTCTTGACAGAATAGCTTCCTAGCTGAAACCAAAAATTGCCAACATATGTACGCACTTACAGACGGGAAAAATTTATTCTTTAAAAGTTGCTTAAAATGATCTAAAACGTCAACATTTGAAGAAATTTCGCATTGTACCTAGCTCATGCTATGAAGAGAAAACCGTCAATTCGTGGAATTGTATGCAACCAATATTACACGATTTCAGGATACGTCAAACATTTCTTGAACTGTTATCGAACATACCATTCCAATTTATTCGTTGTGAAAAATCGCAATTTGACACTAATAAAAAATACACACTAATGGGCAACTTAAATTTGACATTAAGCGACCATTTTTATAGCATAGATTATTTCAAACAAATTCGCGTGGAGTTGATTACCTGTTTCATCTATTCCCCATGATTGACCTGTTTTTTTAAAGGTTACATATGCCGAAAGTATACATTTAAAAAAAATTCTCTGTATATATAGGAATGGAAGTTACTGCAAATCTGACATAATAAGCTAGAAAGAAACCCAATAAGCATTACACAAGTGTGAAATAAAATACACAACAAGCTAAAGGTGCTGATGCCATTCATGCGTCTTTTGAGTAGGCTAGTATCCACGACACATTTAATCGATCGTAAAAATCAGGTGTGCATATGCGCGCAAACTGCGCAATGCCAACTTTTTAGTGTATCACAACGATGTTGAGGTAACGCTTATGTGCTTGTGTTTTCGTCTGTCTGTCTATGTCCGTCCGTCTGTTCCATCGAGATCTCGGCCCCTGGGTCACCAAGAGACTTCAGATTTTCGCTAATTGATTGCTGCTATGGTCTATATTTGCCCATTACTCATCATTTACAATGTGTTACGCGGCAATACCCACGAGTGGGTTTTGAAACATTTTTTGGTAATAAAACCCGACACAATTTTTGTAGGTTGTACACAGGAAGATAAGATCTTCCAAATAACTCAATAAAAATTTCAGGTTACTATTTGAAAAAAAAAGTTTGATGCCATTGCGGCGCTCCAAAATTTTTTTTCAAAAATCCAGCCCGTTATTTTTCTGTTCGGTATGCCTAATATACATATCCGAAATTTGAACAAATCCGTCGAGCCGTTTTCTCAGAAAATTGCCAACAAACGTACGTACGTACATACAGACGGAAAAAATAAGAAAGGTGCATTTTTTACGCATGCATTTTGTTTTCTTTTATTAGGAGGACCTACCATCCAAATTTCGTTCTAATTGTTCCATAAATAAGAAAATTGCATTTCTGCGCATGCGCAACACGATTTTTGCGCATGAATTTTGTTTGCTTTTATTAAAGGGACTTACCATAGAAATTTCGTTTAAATTGCTTCAGAAACAAGATCGTTGCGTTTTGCACATATGCAACACAATTTTTGACTTTGACAATTTTTTTCTCCGTTTTTTGATAATATAACCCGGCCCAATTTTTTGTAGGTTGTACACAGGAAAATAAGGTCTTCCAAATAATAGAATAAAAATTTTAGGTTGCTATTTGAAAAAAAAAAGTTCGATGCCGTTACGGCGCTCCAAAATTTTTTTTCAAAAATCCGGCCCGTTATTTTTCTGTTCGGTATGCCTAAAACATATATACAAAATTTCAACAAAATCCGTCGAGCCGTTTTCTCAGAAAATTGCCAACAAACGTACGTACGTACATACAGACGGAAAAAAATTTTATTCTTTAAAAGTTGCTTAAAATGGTCTTCGACATTTGCAAAAAACGGCTATCGCAATAGCTACCTAGCACATGCTACTAATTCGCTTACGCGTTTCCGTTACAATTTTCGGTCGGCCACTGAATATGCGTATAAATTCAAATAACTTGAGAGCTGAAGCACGAAGTTAGTTTAGAGAACTAACTGATATTTAGAAGCTTAAATTTAATAAAATAAATTGCAATTGTAATATACCTCTAACGCTACCTTCCTGGAAACAAGACACAACGTGTACCCTAAAGCCTACGTCTAAGAGGCCATTTTAGGTAACGCTAATAGTTCCGGAAACAATTATAGATTAAAATACAAGGGACTCCGATCTGTCACCAAGGCAGCAAGGCGCGTGGCGCAGTGGTTGCGCTAACCGATGCTATTCGGGAGGTTGTGGGTTCGAATCCCGCTGCTGACTGCTCTGTCTGGGGTTTTATCAGGGGGGTTTTCCTCAGACGTACCGTGAACCGTGATGTTTTTCATAATAATAATATAGAATCCAGAATGCATTTCTCAATGTAAAAAATAAATGTTCTACGTTATTCATAGAGTATTAAAGGTCTTTAATATTCGTAAATTACTCAAGTTTGGCGACGAGGTAAAAAAAATACCGGTTACATTAGGCAATCTTGAGCAGCCCGCTCCGGCGTCCCTGTAGTCGGAAATTCTAGAGGAATGAAACACGATGACATTTATCGCAATCTATTAACCTGTACATAAATCGACTGTGGTCGACGCGAACGCTATCGTGGCCTAACGCGCATTGCCAGGCGGTTCTCTGTCATCAACCTAAATCCCACTACTTTTCTATTTTAATTCACGCCCAATTCGCAACTGAAATCTTTTCCAGCGATCAAAAGTATTTTTTTTCCTCCAACGAGAACCCTTGGCCTTTGACAAACCCTCGTGGAGTAGAATACCTCTGAATCAGTAATCAGTAACCAGGCCGAAATAGAAGCAGTCAGAATATCCAGTTGTCAGTCGGCCCTCTCTTGAAGTCAGTAGACTGGCGCGACACCGTCGACCTTCGTAAATTATTCAAGTTTGGCGACGAGGTAAAAAACCGGTTACATGAGGCAAGCTTGAGCAGCCCGCCTCGGGCGGTCCTGTAGTCGGAGATGCCAAAGGAACGAAACACGATTGCCTTTATCGGAATCTATTCACCTGTACATAAATAGGCGACGGCAAAAACACGAGCACAAACCAGACGGGGAATGGTAGAAGGTAATACGAACATGCAGCTTACCTTCTCCATACCTTCTCCTACAACTTGTATCGCAGCTTTTTTTTTTCACAATTCTATTAAGCCCGTTCAGCCAAATTTGGCTATTTCAAGGCTTGTAGCACAGGTATTAATCTTTCACTGTTTTAAGCACTATGTGTTTATATTCACTATTCGTTACTGTTTATTAATTATTTACTGTTTATCCACTATCTCCATCCGATAAGTAAATATCCTGTGGTAATCTTCGTTTCAGGCGGGTATGTAGGTTTTTTATTCCTAGATTATAGTGTTCACAGGCTGGGCTTATGCGTAGTTTAGTGTTGTATTGTTTATACAGCGTTTTAATAAAAGCATTTACGAGCGGTATCCCGGTTTCTCGGTGGATTTGCACATTCCTGACGTACCATGGAGCGTATACGATAATTCTAAGCACTCGGTTTTGAAAAACTTGAATTTTATTCAGTTGCGTGCCGCTTGCATTACCCCATATTGGGCAACCGTATGTGAGGACAGGTCTTATAATTGCCTTGTACCTATATTAGGGTGCCACATTCGATTTTTAGTGGTGAGTTTTTGTTTATCACAGGGTAGAGTTTTACTAACCGCGTGTTGGCCTCGTTTAATTTTTTGTTAATATGATATCCCCATTTGAGGGTTTTGTCCAGATAAATGCCCAGGTATTTTACGGCGCTGTTAGCATTGTTCCACTGTATTAGTTGACCGTTCAGTACAATATTGGGTGGGTTAGATACTCGTCTCAATGTGAAGATTTTTGCTTCGGTCTTAACTGAATTTAGTTGTAACCTCCATTTGGAAAACCAGCTGCTAATTACGTTAATGCCGTTTTGAAGTTGAATTACTGCTGCGTCTAAACTGTGATTTTGTGTTGCTATAACGGTGTCGTCGGCGAACATACCTACTGAGATGTTATCGCAGCTAGGGAATGCAATCCCGCAGCAAAATCTCAATCCCGGCATTTGCGGGATCGTTAGATGTTAATCCTGCGGGATCCCGGTATTTGTGGGATCCCGCAAAATTTTAAATAAATTGGCAAATTGGAACTGCGCATGCGCAAATCTAAATTTGGAAACTAACGTTAGATTTTCCTTTGTTCCAAGCGCCTATGCATCAAATTTCACTTAAATGCTTCCATAAATAAAAAAGTTGACACTGCCCCCTAGCATGTATAGTTTAGGAGATACACCAATTTAAAGTTCCGTGTTTTTCTCAATTTTTGGAAATACCATTTTTAGCGCATTTTTACGGATTAAAAGAAATGTGGGACAACTAATTTGTCTCATATTTTGCATGTACATGCCTCCAGTGATGCCATGTAAAACTTTTGAAAATGGGGGGAGGGAGAGGGAGTAAATATAAATACGCGTTCTACCCTTAATGGTATTGTAATGAAAGGTCTCACCGAAATTAATTGATTTCAACAAACTATAACCTTCTACCAGCTACCGTCATTCTTTCAAACCCTTTATCACAAAGGGGGAGGGAGGGGGTTGGGTTACTAGTTTTATCCTTCATGGTACTCTAATGAATGGTCTCAATGAAAGGAATTAACATTTTACCAATCATAGTCTTCCTCCTCGATCTCTTACCGTGATCGATTATAATTACTTATACCTCAAGAGTGGATTGTCGGAAAAGATCTTCTAAACGAGACACTTCTATCAACGCGGTAGAAACGGTCACTTGAATGAGTTTTTTATACACGTAATGATGAATTAAGTAAATAAATTTAGGTAGGTATTTGTTTATATATTGTATATCTAATCTTTTTGTGTAAAGTAAGTCTGGAAAAATATCATCTTCTACCGGACCTTTTGTAACCATAAAGTAGAAATTAGCTGAACTATTAGTATTGCGAAACTAAAATCGGCTAATATCCCGCATCTTCCAAATGAGGAGAGCTTTCGGATGCTGCAACAATAATTTAAATATTTTCACGGTTACAAAACTGATAAATTGTTTATTTTTGCTATTAACGGCTGAAATACGGTACAACAAATTAAAGCAATTAATTCTACACCCTATTGCCCATTTCTGCGGGAGAGAAATAAATAAATATATTACGTAAATAACTTACGGCTACTAGTAAAGTAATAGAGCGCCCATATACATACCGTGTGTCCGTCCCCATGAGAAACAAAAACACAGCACTGGACTCGTTTTCCATTACTGCAGTAAGAAAAGATTTGCAAGGGCTCCAAAATACGCTTTTAAATTTCCCCCTCGCTCTAAAGCCCGTCTTACAAAGAGCTTGGGTCACACTAATAATATAATAAGCACCTACTACCTACTCTTTACATTAGTCGAGTGAGATTTCATTACTCTAACCTCTAGGATCTGCTGCTAGATCTCACGGCCGGATCATGCAAATGGCTGGGCGTGGAATTTAATTGCAGTAGTGAGCTCAGACCACTGCTAACCCTGGCGGGATTGTGTCGAACTTTCAACCTGTTGGACTTCTCCGACATGTTCGACGAAGAAACTGAGTAAGCCCAGCGCCGACGCAGCCCTGTAACTAACTCGCTTTCGATGTAGGGATATACTGAACACGCCGAGGGACTACCACAAAAAAATTCGTGAGTGGTCGTTGGAGAGCGGTTACCACTCATCGGCGTCCATCGACACCTACCCCAGAAGGACGACACTTCCCGGCATCAAATCCGGATTCCAGGTGGATCTGTACGTGCACGACGACGATATTGACTACACCTGCGGGGAGTTGCAGGGCTTTACGGTTAGAAGGCCGCGGTCAATTTATTGACGTAAGGCTTCAAGTGACTTTTGCAGGTTTCTTTGCACCATCCGGGCGAGTCCCCGGATTTGGTTAACTTCTTCCGGGTACCTTTGGACCAAGTCGTGATCGCTGGGGTAAAACCGAATATGATAAAGACCTCGACGGACCTTAGCAAATACGCGCCTCATGTAAGACAGTGTTACCTTCCGGGAGAGAAGCAATTGGACTACTTCCAAATTTACACTCAGCGCAACTGTATTATGGAGTGTTTACACAATTACATACTGAAAACGTGCGGGTGTATTACTATGAACATGCCGTGTACGTATAAAGTCATTTTACTGTGACGATTATTGACTAGCTTTCAGATGAGGACGATACCAAGTTCTGTGGACCGGCGAAGATGGATTGCGTCGACTACGCCCACGGTAGGCCCGACGCAACGGTCCGAAACTTAAGAATATGATTTCAGTACATTTTATGGAGGAAGAGATTCGGATGGAAATCGACAAAGACTCGGAGGATGACACGAATTACTGCGGCTGCCTACCGCCCTGCACCTCCCTGGAATTCGACGCCGAAGTATCGCAGACCGACTGGAACTGGCGCAAAACTCACAGTCTAAGGAACGAAAACGCGAAACCGCCCAACTTCGACTTCGAAAAGTGCGTAGGTACAAGAATCTTTGAGTGAAAGCTTACCTTTAACTTTTAGGGGTCATTTTTCGAGATTAACGGTTTTCTATCGCGAGATGCAGTTCCTGAGCTCGGAAAGGCACGAGGTGTATGGGCACACTGAGTTTTGGGCCAACTGCGGCGGTCTGCTCGGCTTGTTTTTGGGCTTCTCGTTTACCTCGGCCATGGAGATTCTGTACTTTTTAACTTTAAGGCTGATTTGTAACATTCTCAAATTTGGAAAGAAAGTCTGGTCGGGCGCTCCCGAGTTATTGGAGAAACAAAAAAATAGTGAATAAATTTATTTGTTAGTCAGATCTTTAACGATTCGCTTGTGTCCTTTCATGATGTGACAATAAGTGCTTCTGCATTTTTCACCGTCAAGTTTTGTAGGAACTTTCCTCTTTTTGTCAAATTGCTTCTTTTGAGTTTGTGGCACGCCCTTGATCTAATAGATAATAATGTTAAAATCTGAAGAGCCCTTCAGACCCCTTATACTATGCTTCAAGTGGATTAAAAGCTCTTGAAAGTCTTTAAGAGCGTTTAAGAGTCGGCAACAATTTGAGACGGTTTCCAACATCTCCAAGTATCAAAAAAGGTCTTTATTTCATTTATTATTAATGTAATATGACGATTGTAAATAGTACCAACAGTTCATAATAGCACACTTTCATTCATTATGCTACCTATAAAGGGTGCGTTCCCTGAAAATAGTGGTGGGAGATACAAGAAACATGGCGCTGTTGTCAGATTTAAGTTAAATCTCCCCATCTCGACAGGAGCTCGTTGGAGACCTTAATTTACCTTGTAAATATTTGATTTATATTCCAGTCGACAGAGTCTTTAATTATGACACAGGGCCGTATGAATAAAAGTAAGCAAATGCTGATACTTGCATAATTCAAAGTAAATACTCGTAAGTGCTCCTTCGCACTGGGCGACTTAGCAGCGCTTCTAAGCAGAAGGACAGGACGCAGTGCAGCGCTGCTAAACCATGCTAAACAGACCAGTATGAAGGGACAGTTACGAATATTTACTTTGAATTTTGCAAGTATAAGCATTTGCTTACTTTTATTCATACGGGCCATTGTCCTGTACTGTCCGTCCAAGATAATAGTGCTGGAATCTCATGGAAAACCCATTCACCGAACGTAGAAGTTAACAACCCGATAAATTGCACTAAGTATTACTATTAATAACAATTATTACCTGTGCCTGTAGGTAAACCACTAACGACTTCTTTAATAATTAGGTACCAATTGTGTAGTCAATGTTTTTAGCTTCAATCTATATAGGATATTACTTTGCACAGTTAGATATAAGTTAGGTGAACGAACGATGCACTTATTTGTGGCGTTATTGGTGGGTTTTATACTAAACGTGAGCGGGTCTGAGCTCGGTTATGTTGTATACTTTCGAGACACTTTAAGTAGTGCAGTGCAGAATGCTACAAATGGAATTGGTATTAAATGCAGACTCCATCTCGACTATTACCAGAAAGAATTGGGGACGTATGGAACGTGGGCTTTGGAAAGTAAGTACGAGCTCTAAGTTCAGATTTCAAAAATACCAGTGTTTAGTGTTCGACGCATCAAGCAAGGTACCGTCAGGAATTGCTGGTGGAAACGCGGCTGACTTGGGTTCGTTTGAAGAGTGTATTAACATAAAGCAGCGGGTGAATTCTTCAGATTTTATCCGAGGAAGGTATTGTTACGGGAGCACACCCTTGAACTACAATGAGGTGAGTTTAGAGTAGATGTTCTTTCAAAACTAAGATGTTGCATCTTAAAAATGGGAAATGAATTCAAGTGTTTTTTAACTTGTTTAAATGTTTTTCAACAAAAATCAATGTCTGAATTAAGGAAACAACGTTTAAGGAACTAAACTGCATTTATGGGAAGACCAAATCTAAGGATTCTCCACTTTTTGCTTCCACTTCCAGTACGAGTCACCAATTTAAGGTAGTCATTAACCAGCAATTACAGAGGCTGCACCCTGTAAAAGTAAACCAAGTTTCAGTGCTTCAACTATAACAAGCTTGGCCATCGGGCTCGTGAATGTAGGAAGCCGAAGCGTGAAAAAGTATCGCGCTTCAATTGTAGATCGATGGACCACAAAGTAAAATCCTGGCCAACTGCTAAAATTAAATTTGAAAATACAATTTCTCAGTCAATGACTTCCGTTATTAGTTTACAACTTTCCAATCCTTTCATTTCATTTCATTCTCCACTTTCACCGATGGTATTACCAGAATCGTTAATATGACCTTGCTTGACACTGGTAGTGTTTCAAGTGTGATTCAAAGTTCTTTTGTTCCTCTTCAGAATCAGTAACCGAATCACTTGCTGAAGTCCAATAGACTAATAAAACTATCATCCAATTCCGAGATAACCATTGGAACCACGGGTGTTCAAACCAAAATAGGAAATTCCTCTTGTATTAAAGATGATGTTTTAGAAAATTTAAATATTCAATAACCGAAATGGAATCTAAAAATTGTTCAAATCGATTAACCCATAACCGGTAACGTAGACTTTCATTTTACGAAAACTACCGTTAACTTTAAATCGATTAATACAGGATGGCAATATTCTTCCTAGTCAATCTCCTTATCGTATTGATTCGCAATCGTGATGGGAACATTACAGGTCTGTGCAGATTACAGAGAATTGAACAAAATTACGGTTAAAGATAATTTCCCGACTCCACTGATCGAAAAAATAAATCCTATAATAAATCATTGGACCTAAAAAACGATTTTGATCATGTGAAGATGGCAGAAAATTCCATTAAGTACGTGTCATTCATAACATCCATTGGGCAATTCGAATTTTTACGAATGCCGTTTGGACTTACTAATGCTCCTTGTGTGTTCCCAGGGCATTTGGTTATTTAATTCAAGATTAATACACTCCATTAATATACGACCAATCAGCCTGGTGATTGTTTCAAATTCTAACCAATCAAATGATTTTTATCTGATTAAAAGCTAGGTAGCTTTTTATCAGCGATAAAAATGCGCGTAGGAATGTGTAAAATATACAGGGTGTTACATGACCGCATGTAAAAAAATTTTTTTTACAAAATTCTTACACCGAAAGGGCGCACCCCTATTTGGGGGTGCGAAAAAAATTCTGATTTCGACAAAATTTGGTATCTGGGGGTTTTTGAACATGAGAATGACGAATCTGGAAGTTAAGGAACAAAATTGTTGAACAGTTTGTTAAAATAACTTTTCAAACAATAGTTATACTCATTGGAAGATTGGGCCTTCGGGTTACAAAGTGTTCCCCGCCTACTGGTGTAAAAATAAAATTATCCGATTAAAAATCAAGCTCTTGTGTATTTACCCCTGATAATAGCATTTTATTCTAGTACTTGACATATTAATAGCCACGGAAACAATTGAGGAGCATCTGTCAATTTTAAATGAAGTTTTTAGGCGCACTGTCACTTTTAAATTGGAATTTCGGTCAGCTAATTCTTTTTCTTAGATTATGAAACAGCATATTTAGGATATTTAATTAGTAGGAATGGAATTAAATCGTGATGCGGGAAGTGTCCATATACGATCGAATAGATCGTAATGTTACATATAAATATTTTTCGTGTTTCACCAAATAAAAGAGATATTGAGGTGACCCTCACAAAAAAAAACGCTACCATTCTGTTGTCATTCTGCAGGGATCGGACTAAATTCATTTGTCCTCGCGCAACTAGTCGCTTTCGCGGTTCCACGCATATTTCTTTTTTCTACTTTCCACGAACGATTTCCCTACTCTCTTCAATTTATATGCCCCAAAATGACCCTAATCGGTTTTGCCAATCGAATTCATTCATTTTTACCAATCTGCTATTTAGAAAAGCGATTCGTCAGAAGCCTCTGGTAACCCAGCGGAATATGTCCACATAATTGGTTGTGCAATGACCCGCCCAAATAACACAAGTACGTACATTGCAAATACAAAGTACGTACAGCTCTGGATTTACGGGCGTACACTTTACCGTTCATGTACGTACACTTCACGTACATGGTACGTTATTTTTGCGCTACTTTGTACATGTACCGCACATACATTAGACGTACCCTTATGTATGTATAATGTGCTTACTTTTACTCACGTAATACGTACTTTCCTGCACATACATAGTACGTACGTTAAGTAGCAAAAAAACGTACCGTGTACCGAAATGTACGTACATGAGCCGTAAGTGTACGTGAAATGCACGTCCGTAAATCCATAGCTATGCGTACTATGTATTTGTAATGTACGTACGTGTGTTATTGAGGAAGTAGCCGTGTGGTTCAGTCGACTTTCTATTAAACAACAGCGTGATTGTATACCTAATCATGCAAAGTTCTTTTTGTGCAATTATGGAAAAAAATGTATTTGGCCAATTACGTTATACATTAGATGAAATGCTATAACGTTTTCGGGTGTTTAAATAACAATACAATAAAATGAGCTGGAAAAATAAACGCGTTATTTCCCATGCATAATTTCTGCCGATGATATGGGATCGTAACGAAACGGTTCTTCACGGTTATGAATTTCATGAATTACATTGTAAAATTGTAGTTTTCAAATTCTAACGATTGCGATAAAATGGTCACCGGCCGCCACTGAAAGCAATGAATCCCGAAAATAATGAACTTCAACAATATCATATCCATCAAAGTCATAAATAATACGTACATCAGACGTACATATTTGTCACATGGACGTATGTACGTAAAATTGAACAAAAATATACGCACAGTGGACAATTGGTGCTATATGGGCGATAGCGAAACGGATCTAGGTTATCAAAACGACCACCTATACCCTATTAACTCTGCCCTTTTTGCCCTAAAGAGACCATTCTGCAGCTTTTGCAATACCCATTCAAAAAATCGCACACCCCAAAGATAGTTGACTCTAAATACCCCCCATATTGGAGGAAATCACCCCACCAAAACTTAAAAAAAATCGCGGTTACTGTAAAAAATTTAAAAAAATGAAACTAATTAAACCCCATTAAAGGGATCCCGTTACAGTAGACCTCCGTACTTAAACCTGAACATTAACTTCTCTGTGTTATAAATTTTCATGTTGCATGAAATATCATAACTATGTATTACATTTGGGCCTCTCAGGCACATTTTGGATTTGTTAACACCTAATAATTGCGACTATCATTTCAGATTGCCTCCACAAACGCAACATTTAGGCTACAAGTGGCAAGTTGCCTACCCGACACCTGCTCTTCTAACGATGTATCCGCAATATATAACTACTTCGGTCTCAACGCTACTTTTCCAGAACCTCTGTGCCAAACAGCTTCGGTCCATGAAGTGTTGCGATTTGGCGTAGCGGAATACTGCGGAATGTAGGTATTTTCATTTACCTACTGCTCGTAGAAAAGGAAAAAAAAGACGCAGTTCTCTTCAAGTGCAAATTATCGCGGCCTCTTTCTCAAAGCTCACTGATAATTCAACGTGGCGATGTCGTCATTAATTAAAACGTGGACACGCCTTTACATTCAAGAACGAGGCCTTGATGGAATTTGTTTGCAACTAAATCAAAATGGCTGACAGCACATGCTAAAATATGTGTAATCAGTAACTGGTTCTAATCATTGTCCGTTACGCTTAAGGAGGACCGCGTGTTTTTTTTCTATTCTGCGAAATTTGCACCCCCAATTAAAGATGTACTGAAATGTCACGCAGAATTTAAGGTCTACTACTTAAAAAAATAGAGGCTATCTCTTCACTATTCGTCACTGACAGTGACTTCAAAAGGACATACAAACTAAATTTACAAATAAAATTCAATTGAATTTACGCAATTTTTGAATCACACTCGGCTTGCTCAAATCACATGAGACTCTAAACTTCCTGAGTTCATAAACACAGTTGACCGAAACATTATCACCTAATAACGGCGAACCATCCATAGCGTAATCAGCTTTCTGATAAACATAAAATAACGACCTACACTAAAATTGTGCGTGGCATCGCAGCAGTACTATTTTTTTTTCAGAGCATTTTTTGCAATTTTCGCGCTGATTACATCTGCTTCTACCATTTACGACGTCTACCTGCACAACTCACACCAACTGAGCAACACAAAAAGTTGGTACGAGACGCTTGTTGCATTTTCCATTCTTAAAAATGGCAGGAAGTTACTCGCCATCGAACATAATGCGAAACAAATAACTTGTATAAATGGAATTCGAGTTATCAGCACCTTGTGGATCATTTTGTATCACACATTCTCCATACATTTCTACTCACCAGCAATGAACAGCTTCTACCGGGACAAAGTAAGGTGTCACGATTTCGCTCACGTTTCACCAAGTTCAATTGCAGTGGAGGCAAAGCCCAGGAAGTATGTTTCTGTTTAACGCCCCAATAGCGGTTGACACGTTCCTGTTGCTATCAGGAATCGTTACATCCTACGCACGTCTATGGTCGGCCGAAAAAGATAGACCGTTTCAGCTTGTCAAGTTTTACCTACACCGCTTCTTGAGGTGCGCGGTTAAAAGTAGGACAATGACCAACGGACTGTTTTAGGTTGACACCAGTTTTGGCGGCGGAAATTGTTTTCGTAGTCACGTTGCTAAGGCAGTTTTCCTCAGGTCCGCTCTGGACTCATATAATTGACACGCAGTTGATTGAAGCCTGTCAGGAATATTGGTGGAAAACGTTGCTGTATGTACAGAACTATGGACAAGTACCATCCTTGGTATCTTCCCGATTTTCTACTCGGATATTGTAATTCAATTTTCAGTGTCTCCCTCACGGCTGGTATCTGGGCGTCGACATGCAGCTCTTTGTAATTTCGCCAATCTTCCTGCTACCGTTGCCGAAATGGCCGAAACGTACAATATGCGGGGTTGTTGCGCTGATCGCTTGTAACATAATCGGATGTTTCGCATTGGGCTGGTTTTTGGAGCTTAATGGTATAATTGAAGGAAATGTAGAGTAAGTCAGGGACGATTTCGTGCGTTAAACTCATGAAACCCTCACAGCCATAAAAGCTTGATATACGCTTGGCAGTACTACTACCCTGCGTACACAAGAGCAGCACCATGGCTGATAGGAATTGTACTAGGGTACTACTTGTACTTGTCCAACAAAAAGAAGCATACGCTACCGAAGGTATGAGAGCTAATACTTCGCCGTGGAAACTTTAGACGATGAGTTTTAGAAAATTGTCGCATGCGTATGGATTCTCAGCCTCCTGGTTATGTTCGCAATTGCATTCGGTGGACATGGTCTGATGACATCAGAGGGACAAAGAGCGATAAATTCAATCTACATCGCTTTGGCCCGCCCGGTTTGGGCATTAGCTGTTGGCGTGGTGATTTTTAGTTGTGCCAATGGTTACGGAAGTAATCTTCGGGGGTGTACTTTCCGACAAAACTAAGACATACTTTCAGGATCAGTAAATTGGTTCCTTTCGCTGCCTGCGTTCGAAGTGCTATCACGGTTGACTTACAGTCTTTTCATTGTTCACTACATAGTTATTTATGTCTTATGTAGTCAAATGTGGACAAGTGGACGAAAAGTGGAAGTTGTAAGTATGTGACAGCGATTTTAACTTTGTAACTTGATCATTTTAAGATGGTCCAGTTTTGGGGCCACTTTGCGTGTACGTTGTTCATAGCGACGTTTGTAACGTTAGTGTTCGAATTACCTGTCACCGAAATTGAAAAGATCATATTCACAAAAAGGAAAAGTGAGGCCCAGGAGGGTGTTTTATCAAATAACAGTTTAGCTCCATCTACGATAATGAATAACTGTACAGTTACGGTGACCGGTAGCTTGTGATATCTTTCTACAATGGAGAGCTGTTCCACGTGGTAATCCATCATCAAGTCGCCATGTATGCGCAATTTCGTTTGTTAATATGTTTAATTTGTTAATTAAAACTAATTTCTTGATACTTATACTTTGACATATGCCTGGTGTAGCTGTTTAAACAACATTTCATCTCCAAATTATTCAGTAACTAGAATAATAAAGGGAGATTCTACAAGTAGCCTGTTGCCGTTACTCCCTTCCATTCGAGCTATCATAAGTTAAGTCTTTCGTCGTTACGGGTTGTGAGACTGCTTCCCGGTGGTAGCTCATCTCCTTATCCTTCTATTCGGTTGCCATAAGTCAAGCCTAAATCTACACAGAACGTGAGGCTGCGTTCTGGTGGCAATCTCCCAAAACGAACTTACCCTAAGTTTATTCATGGTCCTTCGAGCCGGATTTATCCCATTCTAGTTGCTGCTGCCAGAGTTCTTCTATCAGAAGTTTCGCTTTGATTATGACTGGTGCTAGAAATCCTAGTGGATCGAATAACTTCGCTATTTCGGACGGGATGAATCTTTTCGTAATGGTTATTGTGTTCGTGTGTGTGTGTGTGTGTGGATTCCAGAAAACTCCCAAAGATTTGGTTGGTTCGTCTTGTGACATCTCTTTGATGGTTTGATCTGACGATGACGTACGATGACTAAGTGGGTATTGTTTCCTGTTGATAGCCTATCTCCCTTCGTTCCATTAGTTCCCGATGCTTACATCCATTGATCTCAATTCCTTCTTTTTTGTTTCTTCCTCTTGATTCGTCACCCACCTCCAGTACTCATCTCATTTTGCTTTCTTCTTTTTGTGTTTGTCTCTTCTCCACTCTTCCCATCTCTCTATGGGAACCTCCGAGGCCGCCACCGTTTGGTCTATAGTGATGTTTCCATGGGCCGGCCTACTTTTAATTCAGATGCACGTAAGTAGATTCTTGGCCATCTGTAGATTATGGTCTTTGTACCTCCTGTTTGTATTCCCCAATATCTCAGCTGCCTCATCTTTAGTCTCTTGGTGATCATCTTTCCTTCTAGTAATTCCCTTATTTGATTTCTTGTGGTGTTGATGTTTTCTATCAGTATCCTTAGTGACTACCGTTCCGAAGACCTGCCATCTCCAGGTATACTTCGCTGGTTTCGACGAACTATATTCTTTCTTGTCCGCAATTACGAGTAGGTCGTCCGCGCACGCCAATAGTGTCGGTAGTTGTAGCTGGCCATCCGTTTGCTTTATGGCGTTGTCCAGTGCTATCGCGAAGAGCCTTGGGGAATGGGGAGAGCGGACATGCTTGTTTGATTCTTTTGGTTTTCATTTGGTGCTTGGTCTTCTTCCCAAACCATTAGTACTAGTATACTCCCTTAAGCACGCGTTTATAATTCTATTGGTTAAAAGGTCAGCCCCAACAACGTCAGAGAAGTGTAGTGTTGCCGCGAGACGAGACGAGACGAGACTTTCAAAGGTCTCGCCTCGTCTCGTGACCTCGAGACGAGACCAACTCAAAGTCTCGTCTCGCCCTGGTTCAGTCTCGCCTCGTCTGGTCTCGTCTGGTCTCGTTTGGTCTCGCGTGGTCTCGCCATACTATCAAAAAATGGTGTAGACTGTAGAGCATATAAAAGGGAACAACGAAGGCATGACAAATAATAATGACCTTCCTTATCTATTTGCTAATCACGAAACATAATTATGCGTATTTTAAAAATTTTCTTTACCATTCTGCAGCTAAAAAATATTAGCTTTCATAAAATGTATCTGGTAATGTAACTAGGTAGGAAAGTCTCACTGAATTCTTTGTTACTTTGTATTTTGTAAAATCCTACTTTTATGGTCTTAACTACGCGGTTAATATGTAGGTTCAGGAAGTACCTATACCTACAGTAACTGTGTTAGGATATGCCATATGTCCACAATATACATTTTACCTTAAGCAGCGCCTTTATTCACAGAATTTTGCAAGAACACAAAAAAGTGTAAACCCATACTAAAATACCTGTAGCATTTTAGCCCCAATATGGCGACCAGAACGAAGTACCAATCAAAAGAAAGGCTTCCTGGATTTAAGAAAAATTACCTCCTTCAGGAACTTCTCCCATACTGCCATTGGTGCTTATCCATCGGCGCATTCCTCTCCATTGGGCTAAGCTTGGCGAAATTCTCTGCAAACTAGTCGAATTCCTTGATCTCATTTTGTTCAAAGCTGTTTTCTCCTCCCTGGCCTCCCTTAGCTCCTTTTTTGCTTCGGGTTTGTGTGGTGTTCCTGATCTCGTCCCTTTTTTCTTACCCCCCCCCCCTACTTTCACCCCTTACCATTTTGTAGTGCGATCCTACTGTACTGGCCCATACTGTGTTCGTGATGCTTATTTTCTTTGACTTGCTCCTTACTATGTGGTTGATCTGTGATTCAGAGTAGATTTCCTGAATGTGTTTTCCACCCTCAGTCCATGTAGATCTACCATGCTTGGAAATATCATTCCTCAAAAATGGTGCCAATAACCTGGGATGACCTTGAAAATTAATGTGATCAATGACCTCGGATGACATTGAAAATTAATGGGGGCAATGCCCTCGGATGACATTACAAATGAGGCCACCACAACCGCCCATGTGGCACACGACTTTCACCGTGACCTTGACCTACTTCCCAAGGTTGCCACCAGGTGGCAAGCGACCTTGAACTGCGCCAGGAGCCCCCCTGTATAACTACTTCGCTTCCTTCTTCAAATGTCTCAACCACAATGATTTGGCGTTTCCTGATTACGATTGCTGTGCCTCTGCTGGTACTCTCCTCCTCCTATCCACTAGTCGTAGTTCCTTGTCGCGGCCATCCCACTTGTTAGTTTGGTAGTAGACTGGCTACATCTATTCCCTGTTTTCTTAATTCGTGGTCAATTAACTCCCTTTTATTTGGGTCGTTTCCCCCTTGTACATTCCACGTGGCTACCCTCACGCTGTTGCCTCCTTTTGCATCTTGGCTACTATCCTGGTTATTTTCACTCCTTCTCGGCGTAGCATTCCTCCCGCATACCATGCTCAGACTATATTCGTTTGGGACGGCCGGCGGCTTCTCTCGCTTCCTCGTACTCCCCCAGTACCCTTGTTCTCTGGTATTCCTCCTCTTCATCTACCCCCCCCCCCCCCCCCCCCCATGCCCCATGCTGCCCTCAGCACGATGCCGTAGTGGTTTCGAACATTGCTATTCTATATGCTATATTGCAGTAATCTGTCGTCCCCATTATTTCTCGTGGTTCTGTGATCTGTTTTCTCCCTTCTTCTTCGTAAACCACTATCTGTTATATTTGTTGGTCGTTGCCACCAGAGACTCGTATTCTCCCCAGAATCCCTGCTTTCTGTGATCCCTGCGGTAAGCTTCGACCGTATCTTCATTATTGGGGGTCCTAATGTCACTACGTTCCCTATCAATTGTGGGTAGAATTCTTCCAGGTTCTCCCGGATGTATGTGTTGGTTTCTTCCCTAATACTTTTGGTTAATCTCCTGTGTGGTTCTAATGACACCGGGCATCCCCTAAGTTGATGCCTATAATAACTTCGAACAGGCAGTCCCCATCCTTATTCATCTTAACACACTCTAGGACGTACTCGTTTGTACGCACTTATTCGGCCATCCCGTTTGGCGGCTGTTGCTTGTTGTTTAGGTGGTATTCTGCGGTCTTAATTTTGATTTAAGGTAATGGGCGCTGTTTTTTATGATCGCTAAGAAAGATAATTGAACACTGAAAATTGAACGCTGAAAGAGATAATTGAATTGGATTATGGTTCGGAACAGTGAGACATGTCCATGCAATCTAACTTGGTCACCCTCTATAATATGTGTTATAAAGTAGCCTTGTAAAAGAAAATTCAAATTAATTGAGTCGAGCAAAGGAAGTAAACTTCTTATTTATCCCTCCAAACGCTATAAGTAACGTAAAAGCGCCCCTCGTATGTATACAACGATATGTCGTCAACTTTGGGAATTTAAATAGCCCGTTGTATGGGTTAGGGTACATGTATTTCACCGATTTACAAGTTTATGTTTCCTTTCGTAAGGGTCCAATTTGTTTGCAAGAGCGTAAGGCGAGTTGAATGCAGACGATATAAATAAAAAGTTTATTGCCCGATCATCGGCACACGCAGAGGTAGTCTTCATCAATCATCCTTGCGGAGATCCTATTTTCGTTTTCATATTGACCAAATTTAAGGCACCATCCGTACCAATTTGTACCATAAAGAAATCATCGGGTCACGTTAAGGTAACGAATTTTTTTTTTATTTGTGTAACAAATGACTGTAAATTGACTGAATGTAATATTTAATAACTATTTTTGGACTAGAAATAATTTTGATTGTTTCTGTTCTTTTCAAATTGTATTGTCACTTACCTAAATGAGAATATTTCTATAAATGAGTGCAATTTTGTTGGCAATAAAGGTTAGATAAGGTTTATTATTGTTATTGAGGGTTAAATATGGTAAGTAATCATCGTAAAAGTATAAAATCTTGAAGTAAGGAGTAAGAAGAAAACATAAAATTTATACATTGAGCAGATTCCATGATTTAGTTTTTACCTTAGAAAAATTTTTGAAGAGAAATGAACGGCCTTTTTACAAATAGCTCCGCAGTAAACAGGTATGTGTTACGTCTCTTATTTATAAATATGCAAAATGGTAAGTTTATTCTAATGTTTCGTGGTTTCGTACTCGTGTCACGTGAAAATTCGTAACAATAAAAGCGTGTATCTTGCGAAATCTATGCGATAACGGTAGTGTGTGATATAAATTATTCATACAAAATGTAATATGCAACTGAATCCTTTCAAAAATAGATTTAGTTGAGCTTAAAGAGTGAACGAACAAATATAACAAAAGCGTTAATTAGCTAATGATTGTATTAATTATTCTGCTGTGCTTGTCGACCTTGTAGCATCATTTGCGTTGAGTTTCTGTGTGTAGTGAGTATCGAAAGGCTCGTGAATAATGTGATGCTTGTGAGCTGTACGTACCTACTATAAACATTCGAGATCATAAATGACCATGTAAAAACAGTTAAGTAAGTATACAAAATAGAATAAGTTAGCTGTTAGTTGTTTAAGTGACAGACTGACAGATTGTATCATTTATTTAAACAATTTATTGGCAGCGTATACATTGTAGTATTCATGCAGTAAGATAAAAAAAACACCATACGAAAAATCGCATACAATTTTCAGCAGGTGAATTTTTTGCCACTCAGCTCGTATTCGGAAACCAGACTTTTGATCCGGCTCATATTCAATAGCACTGATCCTTGAACTCGTAGAAATCGATTGGCGAAGGTTCGAGTGGCTCTACATTGTAGAGTAAATTTTAGCTATTTCTCTTTGCAAATTAAAAATTTATACTGTTTAATATAGTAACAGATTCCAAAAACTACTGCTTACAGAGACTTCCCACAAGTAATATTTTAAAGAATTTGTGGTATATAATTTTATACTAAGTTGGTTCTATTACCGGGGAACACGCAGTTTGTGCTCACATACAGACCAGTAATTCGCACCTACAGACTTACATAATTTTAGATCTACTAAGTCCTTATTGCTAAGAGTCACAAATTTTGTGCCGTCTTACAAAAAAAATATTACCAGAAGCAATTGTACACCTATGCTGTTCTCATATTTATATACCAATGGCTTTATTTATTTTTTTAGTGACACACGTAACGGTGGTTACAATTGTTTAAAAAAATCTACGAGTCTAATCTCAGGGCTGTTCTTGTTAATTCGGACCTGCCATTTTTTAATATAATAATAATAATAATGCATTTATTGAAAACAACTTAATATAATGTTCAATGTTCAAGATAAAAATAAAGAAAAATAAAATCATACATGATGTTCGAAGAGAACAGAGTACTTAAGAACTGCCTCACTTGTTGTTCCCAAATGGAGTGAGTTCAAGCAACTACTAAGTAGCAGCTTGGTCTTCCACTCAACCCAGTTTGATTACTAAATAACATTAATTATGGCATTACGAGTGAAAAATAATATTTTTAACGGGACAAATAAATTATAATAAAAACAGAAGCTTATCAAGATTAATTTTTATTTAAGAGGTGTATTGATTAAGTAGATATAGTTTATGTAGTTGAATTTTGAAATGTTGTATAGGAAGTTCTTTAATTTCAGGAGGTATTGAATTATAAACTTTAGACGCGTTATAACTAAATGATCTTTCATACAAGGAGGTTTTATGAAGCGGTGTTATAACTAAATTTTTATGTCTCAAGAAAAAATCACGTATGTTATGCCGAAATCGAAGCTTATTGAAAAGATACTGTGGTGTTTGGCGAGTAATGACTTTATGATATAAGCAAGCCGAATGCAGCATTCTTCTATTTGTCATATTCAGCCATCCTATTTCATTCAGTTTGCCACCACCACCAATAGAATTAAATTTTCGAATACCAAATATTAACCTTAGACACGAGTTTTGGATGCGTTGTATTCGTCTGCAGTCGACGGAAGTTAAACAAGGACCGTACACACAATCACAATAATTAAAATGAGATAGGACAAGCGACTCGCAGAGTATTATTTTTACTTTTTTAGTTAAGCAAGACCGATTTTGATTAATTTGTTTTAGATTAATAAATGCCTTTTGCACATTTTTAGATATATGCTGTCGAAACCTAAGTTCATCATCTATAATAAGCCCTAGGTTCTTAACACTGCTCTTAACACCCAATGGAGTATCCCTTATCATAATATTTATTTGAGATATATACTTTTCTCTTGTCTTCCGTTTGCCTAATAGCATAAGGTAGCATTTAGATATGTTAATTTGTAACCCATGAGCCTCTGAGTAATCCACTAGACTGTTAAGATCAGTGTTAATATGAACCAAGGCAACAGGCAAATCTATAGGCTTGAAACTGTAATGCAACTGAGTGTCATCAGCATATAAATGATATTTACAAAATTTTAGAGAAGATTTTAAATTAAAGGTATATATAACGTAAAACAGGGGACCAAGAATTGAACCTTGAGGTACTCCATTGATAATTGGTAAAGAGATAGATTGAGAGTCTTTTATTTTCACTATCTGGCTGCGATTAGTAAGGTAATTTTCAATTAAAGAAGTAGCAGACTCGTCGAAACCAATACATCTCAGGATTGACACCATAACATCATGTCTTATGGTGTCAAACGCCTTCGAGTAGTCAAGCATAATCAACACGGACAGTTCATCACTATCAGCACTGCTCAATATATCATCAGTTATATTTAAAAGAGAAGTTTCACAACTAAAACCCGATCAAAATCCCGATTGTGTCTCGGGGATAATATCAATGGATTGCATATAGCTTTGCATTTGAGTCATCATAATTTTTTCGAAAACTTTTGATAAACATGGAAGGATACTAATTGGTCTTAAGTCCTTATAGTCAGTTGGTGCATTTGATTTAGGTACAGGAATAACCTTTGCGGTTTTCCAGGAGTCTGGAAAGATCGAATCGATTATGCAGGAATTGATAATATGTGTCACGTAAGGAACAATAAAGGGACAGCAAAGTCGTAACATTTTTATACTCAGTTCATCAGTTCCAACCGCATTACTTTTGATATTTGATAAGATTTTTAATATTGCTTGGCCATCAGTTAATGAAAATTGAAAATTTGTCCCAAACTTTTGTGGAAAATCTTCGCAATAGAATCGAATAAGGTTGTTGAAATTAACGGTAGACAAAGATTTACTTGAATTTACAAATGCCTCATTAATTTTGTTAGGATCACTAAGATGAATAGGTACTTCATGAGACTCTGCTTTTGTATATATGTTAGTCCTATTTAAATCTTGCCATAACGTTTTATGTTTATTTTGATTGAGTCTAAATTCAATATATGCTTTTTTCTCCTGTTTAACTGCAAAGGTAGTGTAATTCCGTAACTGTTTGTAATAATTCCAATCAGTATCCTTAAGCGTTCGTTTAAACTTGACAAGGGACTTATTTCGTAGTTTAATCATAAATTTGATATTATCAGTCATCCAGGGAGGATTTTTTTTAACAATTTTAATAGTTCTAATGGGAGCATGAATATTGAACAACTCTGTAAGATTAGCATTTAAAAAGTGAATTTTATCGTTTACATCACGTAAATGAATCATTAGATGCCATGGAATAGCTTGCAAGTCAGCATCAAAGGTTTTTTGGTTGAAGCGATTAAAGTCCCGGTAAGTATGTAAATGGCTTTTCATTTCCACGTTACTGTGAAGTGGGTACTGACAATATATTAAACAATGATCAGACAAACCATGCGAACCAATTACACCACACTCAATGATTACCTTACCTTCACTAACCAAAATGTGGTCTATTAAAGTAGACGTTGTACGAGTGACGCGTGTAGGTTCTTGGATGATTTGTTTTAAACTGAAGAAGTCTATCATAGTTGTATACTTTAATGTATCACGATTATTTAAATTGAGCATATTTATATTAAAATCACCCAAGCACACTATTTCATCAGTAATAGGTAATACAGATACAACCGAATTTTCCAATTCACTGAGAAACACATCACATCCAAATTCCTGTCGCCTATATAGAATTCCAAGAGCTAATTGGATTCTATTTATTTTTAATAAGATCCATAACTGTTCACTGGCTGAGTGCGATTCGGATTGCTCTAAAATTGAAAAAACAAATTCACTTTTAACATATATACCTACGCCTCCACCTCTCGCTACGCGATCCTTTCGAATAAACCATTGAATAAAAACACTATATTCAATGAATAAACTTATACCCATTTATGTGAACTGCATCACTAGGTACTTCGGGCGATAACCACGTTTCTGTTATTCCTATTATGTCAAAGTTGCACTCAAATGCGAGATCCTTGAATTCTGAAAAATTATTACGAAGAGATTGGGCATTTAAGTGTGCAATTCCTAAAATATTCCTACTCATCTAACATCTGTAAACAAAAAAGGAATTAATAAATGACCATATAAAAATACAGTTTTTTTTTTAAATTTTGGTAATATCCAAACCGAATTTTGTAAAGCATAATTACAAGTAAATTTAATTTTAAAGACACAGAAAAATATGTAACACAAGTTATTTCCCAGAAAAGCAGTCATTTTTGGTTTAAAGAAGCAAACCTTATTGATAAACACATCATGCTAAAACTAACAGTGGGGCTATTGTTTATGTAGGAATGTTCGGCGATAACTTTGAAGAAAGCAGCTGCAGATAAATTCACAAATTTCCAACGAACGCACGTAACTAAACTACTATTGGCTTTGTGATGTATAAAAGTCAAACAAAAATTTAAAGACAATAAAATAAGAGCATTTTCTCCGTAATGTTTTGAAAAACAACAAAAAAAACACTATAGTGTGATAAACCATCACCGAAACTCGATCAGTGGACATCCCGAAGATCATTACTTGATTTTATTTCATAAACGCGGCTCTGCTCATTGACACGCATAAATATTTTGCCATTCCGTATCCACAAATATTTTACGTTGTTTTGTTTTTTAAACTCACGCGCCTTATTTAACAATATCTTGTTGGTAACCGTGAGCGAATCGTTCACATAGATGTAATTGTCTTGCTTTATTAAATTACGAAAATCGGAACCTAAATCACTTACTTTAAGTTCACGTTTAACTCGCTTTAACCTCATGAACTCTTCTTTATCTAATCTGCGTACGAACTTAATAATGATTCCCCTGGCTTGATCCGGACGATTTGCGTTTTTTCGCAACCGATGAGTAGTATCGATCATCCATCTTTCCAATTTAAACCCTATCGAATTGGCCACTGCTTGGACAACAACGGCAATATTTTCTCCTGGGGATTCCGGCACGCCATATACTTCAAAGATATTTTTCCGGGTGTACTGTTCCAACTCATTTAATTTTTCTTTAATCTCACTGTTTTCCCTTTGAAGAATTACGTTCTTAGTTTCTAAAGCTTCAATATTTTTTTCACAGGCTGTCACCGCATCGCTTAGTTTTTTGAAGTTGTTGTTCAACTCATCAATTTTTTCGTGACATAAATTGATCGACGTAGTTGTTTCTGATTGTACTTCTAAAACAGTTTTCAGTTGACCTATGATGTGTGCAAGTGCAGTTGACGTATTTAGTTGACCGTCATTAGGATCCACATCCACAGATGCTGGGATCTCATCTGGAACATAATATGATGAGCTGCCAGTGTTTCGTAATTTCGTATTAGATTCGATGCATGTAAGACATTGCCATTTCTCTTTGTTATCTTTCAAATATTGCAATTCCCCGATTGTTGGGTTCATGCAATTGATATGATATCTCTTCGAACACCTTACACATTTAATTTTTTGCTGAGTGGACGTAATATTAAATGTACACTTTTGACACACTTCAGACATGATCGTTGGTTTTTTTTTAGATTTTATAATTAAACTAAACACAGAGCGCTGAAAACACGTCCGCACTCGATGCCGTTATAAACGAGTTTTTTACCAATTTTCTAACACAACACACTTTATGTTAAATTACAGGTGACTGGTCTAAATTCGCGTACAGTTCAACGCGAATTTTGCATAACACAATAAAAAATCCACCCTACGGCAAATTACAGGGGATTGACTTGACTTCACTCACGGTTCAACGCAGTTTTCAGGTGGGTGGCCTAACTTCGCTAATTGTTCCCCCAAACAACCCCATTATCTTATTCCATTCATAAAGGGAACTAGCCAGGCACCACTTAAACACACCAAACGCCTATTATGTCTACCCCATTTCCTTGGCAACGAGGTTCAGAGCCCATTCCCTTCAATAAAGTAAGGACCCTGTTTAGTCTAAGCTGCTTCACCCTCCCCAGTTCCAAATATATGGCGCCAAAGAGCTGATGCCTGTCTCTGATCAAGGCGTCACAGTGACAAACTACATGGTAGAATCGAAGTAAAATCTTCCCAGCCGGTAACGTAGAAACTCATCTGTGGGGTGATTGACTTGATGAGATGGCGGTGGACTTCCCCAAATGAATCTTGCACAATATTGGGACAATCCAAAATTCAGCGGTCTCCAATCAGAAATGTTGTTGTAGAAAGCAGAATGCGGCAGGTAATAATGAAGAAAAGAGAAACAAAGTCAAAAGGTAAATGCGTAATCTTTGTTAACATACCTAAAATGGCTTTAGAACTTTAGTAAAATATATCCGCAAATGTATCAAAGCAAAATAACAAGAGAAAACTTCACAAAACTTATACAGCAACAATAAATCCCAAAAGGCTGACAAATTGTCGAGTAACTGGAATGGCGTGTGTCTGTGTGTTCTTCTACAAGGAATGATGGAATCTCGTCCTGGCACAAAAAAGTGCGTGCGCCAAAAGAAACTAAAGAAAACTCTGCACGACCTCCGTCGGCGAAACAAAGAACATCGTAAAAGAAACCTATACTAAGATAATAACAAATTTACTACAGGAATTAACTTACATCTGAAAGTGGATTACAAACGAAACATTTTGATAGCGTAAGAATATCAGGTAAAACCTATTTCAATATAAACGAGAGTTTAAGAATACTAAATTTGAATTACGAGCGAAAAGAACGTAACAAATTAATAACGGGGTGCTGGTATCTGGATCAATCTGTCTTACTCAGTCATACGACTGCACTTGAGAGGGATAATTAATAACGTGACACAGGTGTCTGGATTAATTTCTCTTGCTCAGGTATACGACTGCATTTGAGAAGGAAAATTACGGGTAGGTATCAGGATCAAGCTTCGGGTAAGCGCGAGGAATAGGGAATTCAGAACGTTTCGTTCTGGGGAAACTGGCGGTGGACGAATACATGCGTCAAAACTGCCGCCGGGCCTCCTGGTAGAAGTGTCCACTGCCCATTAATTGAAGGATTCCTATAGAATTTTTAAAAGAATAAATGATATACCTAAATTTCATGTCATTACTGAGGAGAATGGACCTTTGTCTATAGGTATACCTGAAACACGTTTTAACGTGCAGTTTATGTGCCAAAGAACGTTATTTTACAAAATGACGTCTTTGACAGATAATCTGCCCGTTAAGTTTAACTTGCTGAATCTCATTAATAGTTATTTGTACAACTAATTTTGAAACTGATACTTTTAGAATTGTCAGATAGCACAACATTACTCGTGTACAGGGTGGCCTATTAATAAAGGCTGCAGGTCATATCTATGGAACCGTTAATTGTGCAGCTTGGGGAAAAAGGTTTTGTTAATAAAAGAGGCCAAGAGAAATCATTGGAAATTATTTTCAAGTTTTGAGGTTTGCTGCTGGAGAGCGTATGAATGACGTTTTTTTTCTAAAATATACCCAGCAAACATGCATAAAACATACATGCATAGCAATTTTGTATCAATTTTGCATCATTTTGATGCAGACAAATTGCTCTAGCTCATAAAATATGAGGGGTGTGGGAAGGGGAACATCTCTCTAAGGGATTTAGTGTAACTTCGGTTTAGGTTAACAGATTTTCACACCTTGTTGGAAAGAGCTCTCTTCGTGGAATCAGATTTTACATGAATAGAGCCTTTTTAGTAAATGTGATGCGTGGTAGAGGGCGCGATGTGACATTAACATAAACTTTGCAGGTTTTTTTGAACATTTCAAACGGAACGATATAATTATTATATGATATTATCAAATAAGATGAAAAAGTGAGAATATCAGTGAAAACAGCATTTTGATATCTGTTTTCTAAGCAGAGATATGGCGAAAATACGAACATTCACAAATTTTAATTGCCCCTTCCCCCACCCCTCATATTTTATGAGCTAGAGCAATATGTGCTGCATCATAATGATACAAAATTGATACAAGATTGCTATGCATGTATTTTTTATGCATGTTTGTTGGGATATATTTTAGGAGAAATAGTACATTGAAATACAAGTGCAGAAACGGTAATATTGAAAAACGAGTTTTTCAATAACCGTTTCGGCATGCGTGTTTCATACTATTTTTTGTACGAAAGTGGAAAGTTTTTCTCTAGAAATTAGAAATTTAAACTAGGCAGATAACGGCAGAAAATCATGTAGTCTGATCGTAGTTGGATGTTTTAATTGTAAATGATCAAGTAAGCTGGTTGCCATGACAAAACATAATTGTTTGAAAAATCGTAAATTTAAGTCAAACAATTTGTGGCGTAGTGATGGATTTTGACGAAACTGAAGATGAAGAAGGTATGTGCACCCCGCCGGACGTTGCGGAAATGGCTAATGCGGTTTCGCATGAATTGCTACCCCAAAATTCTAAGCAGCGTTTCGGAAAGGAGCGTTTTCATAAGAGAACAAATCGTTTTTGGGAGAAGCGCCTAATGAAACATTTGTAATAATGAAGGTTTGTGAATCTCTTATTGTATTTTTAAATAATAAATAAGCATAATTTAATAATTACAGGTTGCTCTCGTCCTTGGAGTGGCTGGAGCTTGCCGTCGGAGAGCGAACGTTGTAAACTGACTGTAACGGATTTCACAGAACAAGATACAATTTTATTGATAACGATTCCTGACTCCAAGAATCATGTCCCAAGTACGTTTTCTGTAGCAGAAGGCAAAGAAAATTGGATACAGATTTATACCAAATCTCTAAAGTCACTAAATTAGAGAGTTAGAGAGAGACCGCATGATTTTTGCCCAAAAATGGCGGAAGTTACCAGATTCTAGTAACTTTAATGTTAGGGATTGTTCCACCTGTTTGGAGATATCTGTATAAAATTGTATAACATGACAGTACTATGAAGTTAGGTTATAAAAAATTACAGCTTTTCAGATTTTATTTGTCAATTTTTTTAAGTTGGCAGCAAATTTGCCCAAAAATGGCGGATGATTGCGATACTTTCTATATCTAGTGACTTTACAAATCCCGAGCTTTACGTCCCTCTAATGTGCCAACTAATCGGTTTTTCTTAAATTATAAGAAAGGTAAATTTACCGTTCAACCGTATAGGTAAACACGTTTTGCAAAATTTCTCAACAAACTGCAAATGATCTAAATCTGCCAGATCCTTTTGCTTTTATCGGTCATTGTTTTCGCCGGACTTCGGCCACGCTACTTGTTAATGCTGGAGCAGATATTCTGAGCCTAAAGCGTCACGGAGGCTGGAAGTCGTCAATGGTAGCAGAGGGTTACATCGATGAGTCTTTAAGAACGAAGTTTCCAAGAAAATAATTGGTAATGCTTCTGATATTTCTGAATTAACTGGTATACCTGCACATCGTCTTGGGCGTTCAATGTAATAACTTTCAATCTTTCGATTTCAAAATCTATTAATCAATTAAAGTCGACAATTCCAGGTGTAAGTATAGGTAATTGTTCATCTTGTACCTTTAATATTAATATTAGTAATTAGTAATATTTCATGTATGATTTTTTAGTTGTAGTTTAATTGTAGTTTTTAGTGATCCAATTTTTCTACCATTGTCTTATATAACGAAACTGTGAATAAAGCAATACAATTACAAAGAGTTACTTCGTTTATTAGCGTGTAGAAAATGCGTGCAGAAAATATTTTTGCCGCACTACACCTTTTCCACTTTTATTCGAGAAACTATCAAGTTAATTTGAGAAAGTATCAATTGTATTTGAGAATAGTAAAATGTATTTGAGAAAACAACAAATGTAGTTCAGAATAGTGATTTGTATTTGAGAAGGCATCAAATGAATTTGAGAGTAGTAAATTGTATTCAAGAAATGGTAAAATGTATTTGAGAAGATATCAATTGAAAATGAGAAAAACAAAATCACATGCATAACATAGCCTGATGCTGCTGCTGCTGTTGCGGGACTACATACAGTAGCGGAATTATAAAAATTTGATTCTTAATTATAATTCATTAGGAATAATATTACATTCTAAAATACAATAAAATTAAATGATACTTTCTCAAATACAATTGACTATTCTCAAATACATTTGATGTTTTCTCAAATCCAACTGACTATTCTCATCTACTTTGACGTTTTCTAAAAATAATAATAATAATAATAATAATAAATGTCTTTAATAGTACCTATAGGTTACATTACATAGAAGTGTGTACAAAGGGCGAGATTCAGTAATGGAATGAAACATATGTACATACCATTTCTGCTCTTCCATCTAACCCATGTGATTCCGTTCATTAACAGAAAATACAAAGAAGAAAAAATAAAAATAAAAATAATATATCTAGCAAAAAAAAAAAACCTCAAATTAAATTGTCAAATATCATTGAGAAGAAGATTGTTCGTGCAATAACCTCGACATGGTAGCTAATCTAAATGTTTTGTAAGGCATGCTTTTGATGTCCATAGCTAGGGAATTATACCATTTGCTGATGTTGTAGGTAAAAGATCTTTCATACATAGCTGTGGCGTGCGAGGGAGGTGTAAGCAAACCTTTGTTTCTCAAATTTAGCGTATGTACATCAGTTCTGTATTTTAATTTGCGGTATAAATAGGTGGGTTGATTATTAACTAAAATTTTATAATACGTGCTAGCAGCATGTCCAGCGTAGTTCTCAAATACAATTTACAACTTCTCGAATAAAAGTGGAAAAGGTGTAGTGTTTCAAAGACCTGTTTTCACAATCAATTTAACTACAAAAACAAATGAAGAAAGAAAGAATGTTGCTATATACCTTGCACACAACTCAGAAACTCCATAAACGTAGAAAGCATTTTTGCGTTAGACACTTCTTTGTCAGAGGGGTCGTCCAGAAGGGAATAGTGAATCCTAGTGATCTTCAAGGCTTAGGTTTCATTGTAATATTAAAATTCATTATTGAAAGTTTTGTTATACTATTTTCACACCCCACCCTTCTTATTACACAAAGTTAAATTTGTCCTTGGTAGAGATCTTCAAATTATTCCCAATTTTCGTGGAGGTACATTTGAATACCGTGCCGTAGGTAAGTTGGTGTAGTTCCTCAATTTAAAAAAAAGTGCCTTTGGTTTTACCATAACTATGACTCTATTTAAGAAGCAAAAAAACATTGCTAGTACAATATACATAAATATTGAACTAATCCTCACTTAAAGCTATTAAATGCAATACTGGTGTTACTGGTATCCGAAAAACTCCCATCTTGTATCAATTCTTCACGTCTAGGTACGTTATGTAACGACGACAGTGAAGTCCCTTGATCACGAACTTTAATTTTCGAATTACGGCGGCTACATCATGATGCTTTATTTCCCAGTGTAGCACTAATCGAATACTGGATGGCGAAAAGGAAAGGGCTTTCACGCTGACTTCTTCCGTCTCTGTTATCTTGGCGAGCTGCTCTAAGAACGTCTTTGAAGTAATCTTTCCAGTATCCAGATGTATGTTAACGATATTGGTCTGTACAGCAGACAGGTCTACGCGGACGATGTCCGAATCTGCATCGCTAATGGCTGAAACGAAAATGAGGGTTAGGTTCGATTTTACCCTGGTTTAAATTACCTTTAGCGATCTTATAGGCGTGGTCGTGATCAATCTGAAGGCGATCAATCATTTCGTCTAAGGCCACCAAGCCGGCCGCTGCCAAAATACCAACTTGCCTCATTCCGCCACCCAGCAGCTTTCGGTAACGCCTAGCTCTGCAAAAACAACGCATTTGAGCTGCAAGCAAACGAAACGATGAAAAACGCTTACTGCTTGATGAAGCTTTTGCTGCCGCACAGGACCGAACCAACTGGACATGACAAACCCTTACTCAAGCAGAAGCAGACAGAATCCATGTCACGTGCGATACGTTTCGCGGACACTTTGCTCTGCACCACCGCGTTCATTATGCGTGCACCGTCCATGTGGAGTGGTAGCTTGTAGTTCCCAGCGATCTTGGCTAACTTATCAAGCCATTCCAATGGGAGAACCTGACAACAAAAAGTGTTACATTCCACTTGGTAGGTGTAAAAGTCAAGAAATTACCCGTCCCCCGCACAGATTGTGTGTATTTTCAACTACAATTAGTGCAGTCGAAGTTTCATGGCTATCATTACTGGTTCTGATTTTCGATTCCATTTCCTCCAATGAGAAAGTACCATCCGGATTGTTGGGAATTATGGAGGATTGAACTCCGGCTAACACTGCGGGACCACCTTTAACACAAGCATTTGCGATAAATTGACATGAGTGGTTAATATATAATTAGGTACCTTGTTCGAATAGATGAAGATGGCTCTTATCGCCAGCTATAAATTCAACACTTCGCTTGTTACAGTGGACCATAACTATAACAAGTTAAAAAGTAATCGTAAACGATTTACATAAAGCGCATTTCCACTTGCATTCATTTCCCATTTGTAAGATGCAACTTCTGTTAAAATCGTAAAATCCGGCCACAAATATGAAAGATAGCATTGCACATGGGCAATCCATTGTTGACGTGCTACTTCAATTTCAGTTTATGAGAAGAAGTTCATTTCAATGCTTTTCTAAATAAGAAAGTTGGAACTGCGCATGCGCAAACCTAAATTTTAAAACTAATTTACTATAACTAACTAATAAACTAAGATTTTCCTTTGTTCCAAGCGCCTAAGTATCAAATTTCACTTAAATAGTTCCATAGATAAAAAAGTTGGCACGGCGCATGCGCAAAATAAAAGTTTGAAACTGGCGCTAGATTTTCCTTTATTCCAAGTGCCTATGTATCACATTTCATTTAAATTCTTCCATAAATAAAAAAGTTGGCACTGCGCATGCGCAAAACCAAATTTTGAAATTGGCGTTTGATTTTCCTTTATCCCAAGTGCCTATGGATAAATTTCGTTTAAATTCTTCCATAAATAAAAAAGTTGGCACTGCGCATGCGCAAAACCAAATTTTGAAATTGGCGGTTGATTTTCCTTTATTCCAAGTACCTATGTATCAAATTTCATTCAAATACTTTTATAAGTAAAAAAGTTTGCAATTCGGTTTATAAATGGTCGAGATGCGAAAAGGGCACTGTGAATTTTGAATCGATTCGATCCAACTTTTGGCATTGCGTATTATATGGCTAAATCTATGCCCATATTGAATTTCATGCAATTCAGTTCATAACTAACGGAGATGTAAAAGCGATCGAACATTTCTAAACAAAGTTATCGTTCACACGGACAGATAGATGGACAGACAGACAAAGAAACAGACGGAGAGACCAACCGGCAGGCGACAGATAGCAATGCAAAATTATAAACGATCTCTAGGATCGTTAATAAACGGCAAAAGTGTAAAATTATAGAACATGTAAAAAAACGGTTTTTTGTTTTTTTTACAATAACTTTTTTTGTAAGCGGTACAGAAAAAATTCCTTCCTTGGTACAAGACTCGACACCATAACGAACCAAATAGCGAAAAAAGTAGAACAATAGCTCTTAAGATAAAAAACTAGTAGCGTCGCAAAGTTAGCGGACGGACGGACGGACGGACGGACGGACAAAGTGGCCACAATAGCGCATTTTTTTTTATTTTTGTGGAAATGCGCTAAAAACAAGATTACAGTAATTAATCACAAACGAAATCATTAACTTACCTGCAATTATGTTGCACATAGTTCCACTGGTTAGAAAAATGCCATCTTCCTTGCCCATAAGTTCTGCAGATCTTCTTTCTAACTCGTTCACCGTGGGATCTTCTCCGAAAACGTCATCTCCAACTTCGGCTATGGCGATGGCCTTACGCATATTCACCGTGGGTTTAGTGATGGTGTCGCTTCGAAGGTCCACAACGTGGGCAATCGTGCCCTCTACGTGGCCGCACTCGCTGTATTCTTCGAAATTGTAAGGCATCGTATTGTTTGTTGTTGTGCGATAAAAGTCGACCAACTGAATGCCTCCTAATTCGTTGATTAACTTTTATACACGAGGATTCGGAAGTTATCTAACAGTAGGGAATGTGCAGAAGGGGCCAACCTCAAAGATTATGATGAATTTTCCATCTTGCTTGGAAGTTCTCATTAGATTTCCCTTCGATGGTTAGTAATAGTAATAGTAGCGCGGGTTTCTCCACGATCCGCGGTCGTAGTGTTTTGATACCACCGCGTCTGGGACATACACGGGCTGCCTTATCTAATCTAGAACCGCATTGTTACCCGTCATTACATAAGCTATATAGAAACCGCATCTCTTGTAACCAGGTGTAGAATTTTGTTATGGTTAAATTTACCCTGTCAAGCACGCAACAGAAATTAACTTCCGCGTACGTCATTGGATATTAAACAGTCAAAATCCTACGTTTAATGCTATACCACCATAAGGGACCAAAGACAATAATTGAGGCGTATAGGATCAAAACCGGACATGTCACATATTTTAACAAAATGAAGTGAGATATAGGTTTTGTACATTGAGGCGTGTTTTATAATAAAATGAAGTCAGTTTAGTTGCAAATCCGTACATCTCCTATTAAAGTCAGGCTTGAAAATTGCCATTAGATTCAAAAGCGGACATGTCCCATGAAATTCTGATGCAAAAACGGACATGTCCATTTGAACCAATAACGTTCTGGCATTGTGTCATGTGATCATGAATTTATTGAGGAAGTTTCTTGCATATAAGTGGCGTGGCCCCTTTTTTGTGCTTTTTTAATCAAAAAAATTTATTTTCATTTTTTAATAAATTTTTGATTATGTTGCAATTGCGTTAGTTTTTTTTACTGAAAAAATAAGGATAGGTATTGTAACTCAAAAATCCATCATATTTAGTTTCAGAACCAGACATGTCCACAGTTTGAGTGCAAATTCGGCCAAACCCTAATTAAATTAATTAATAACTCATTTAATAATCAAAATATTCTTATTGTTTCTTGAGTAGGTATCATTTTTTGGGTTTTTGGGTAGATCTGCAACTCAAACCAAGAATTTTTATGTTTCGAATCCACTGAACAGATTATTCCGTTTTTTGGAAAACCATAATCATGTGACATGTCCGATTTTGATCCTGTACGCCTCAATTCATCACAAAAGGCCCAAAATTAGTTTTGATCCTAAGGGTGCCGTTTCTTATCCGAAACGAAATTGAGGGCCATAACTATCCAAACTATGTTATATACTCTGTTTCTTGAAGTCTCGAGTCTTGATCTCGAATCTTCAAAGATAGAAAACGATGGAATCTCTACAGATCGATCGCGACCAAAGTTCACCTTTCAATTGTGCTCGTTTTACACTGATTTGTGCGCCATATGCAGGGTGTTATATATTATAAAGATCCCACAAGATGGTGCACCCCTAAATGGGAGTGGGAAAAAATACCGAAATATTTAAACGTGGAAATGGCGAACCTGCAATTAGATTCTTGAAAAATTAGAAAGACAATTCCGACTAATTAGTAGCACAGTCGATATGGGCTTTGTGCTCTGCAACAATTCCAAAGTTTTTGAGATGTTTGTATCTCTTTTTTTATAGTGCATCCTATTAATCAAAGCAAAAAAAACATTATGCCAGCTTTCGGAAGGCACTATACAGTATGCGTTTGTGGCGGATAGTATCAAGGGAATTAAGTGTATGTTTTAATCTTAAGGGATTAGGACGAAAAATTTGTTCACCTCATAGGGTTTTTAACAGTGGATACTATGGTGCCTCCTTGGTCTGTCAGGTGGGTTTACTGGAGTTTCCTGTCGCTCTGATCCGGTTCTCTTGTGTCAGTCTTGACGTTTCCCATTTATTTGAATTGGTGGAATACTCGCCTCTTCTCCCTTGGAGAGTTTCTAGCAATAAAGTTGATGGGGTTTCGTATGGATGGCGATAGACACTGCATTAAGATGGTGGTAGCGAACGTGTCGACTGCCGAATCGACGTCGTCGTGGGGTGTTTCGAGGGAGGGATGTAACGGAGTGTTTTTGATACGTGTTGGGCAAAGTTTCCATCAAAAAGTATTATAGTGGGAGGAGGAATAGGAGGACGGGTGACGTTTGTATGGACAAACAATGGTAGGTAATTGTTGAAAAGAAAAACATTAAATTCGTTAGATCAGGGTTTCAGTGTGTCAAATATAAAAGATTTGATTGATGACTGTACTTTTTTTTTATTAAAATCGTCTTGAATATCTCATCGTCTCTCGTCGTCTCGATTTTTTCAACATGGTAGCAGAGCGTGGTTTCCTATAAAAGAAGTTGGACATTGAATTTCTTTTTGGAATGGAACTTCAGGAACATGGAATTGAGAAACTCAGAGGAACGGAAAATTGGACTCTTTGGAAGTTTGCAGTGAAAAGTTTACTTCGAGGAATAGATGGAGCATATGAGGTACGCATCGGCGAAATTGTGAACCCAGCTCCTTTGAGAGAGGAATCAAGAGACGCCGATCGAGCTGAATATAAGGTCAATCTTAAAGCTTGGAATAAGGCGGATCGCGCAGCGAGTCAGCTGATTGTAAAAACAATCGATTTTAAGGTATTAGCGTCACTGGTGCGTGTGAAACAGCACAAGAAATGTGGTTGAAACTACAGTGTAGCAAATATTTCATCTAAAGAAACGTTGCAGATATGGCATGAAAAATTGGGCCATCAAAACAAGTGTCACGTGAAAGAGTTGCTAAAGAAGCACAAAATTGAATTCATTGAGGATGACGATTTTTGTGGAGCTTGTGTTGAAGGCAAGCAGCATCGTAGTAATTTCTTGAAACGTCAGCAACGCGTAACCGAACCAGGAGAAGTAATAACAGCTGATATTTGCGGTTCCATGGAATGTTTTGCTTTAGGAGGATCAAAATATTTTTTTCGTACTTCCGAGACTAAAGTGACAACTTCACTCCATTATGACAAGTACTGAAGTGTCACTTTTTGTCCCGCCGGGATTAAATTTGGACGACAATTCAACTCATGTATAAAAAATCGCATAAGCCGCAGTGAAATTGTCACTTTGACAGCGGCAAAAGTTACCTGCAACTTTTCCAGCGACAAATGCACTAGTGGTTTTTTCACTTATTCATTTTCGAACCAATTATCGCATTATCCTTTCCCATATGACTAGTTTGACGTCTGTCAGTAATTGATTAGTTATGTGAATTTCTTGTTCGTTAAATTGTCCTGCCGAATTACACTCGAGGTTTGTATTTAAACCGAGTAAATTTGTGTTGTTGCAATTCAAATCTGTTGCCTTTTAGCAATTGAACTCGAAAAACTGTCAACCTAAAAATGCTCCACCTGCGGTGTCGCATTTTTATTAGTTGACAGTTTTTCTCGTCTAATTGCTAGGCAACAGATTTTCATTACCTAAACAACCCAAATTTACTCGGTAAAATACAAACCTCTTGTGCAATTATAAGTGAAAATCCCGGAAGGATGAAATTACTAACAAGGCAATTTCAGTAGGTTGTTCCACATTTTGTATGCGGCACTACTTCTTAAACGCATCGTACTGCTGCTCATATAGTTTTTTGGATTTCTGTGGTATCAATTCTTTACCTACATTGGCCGCTTTTTATCAATATCAAATACACCTTTGTCACCCACCACTAAAATTATGACACTAGCAATGACAGTTTCCAAATTATTTTTGTTACCATAGCATAGGGATTGTCGTACCAACGCAACGTTCCTATGGTAACTTGTTAAGCAGCGATTTTTGGAAAGAACGCGTTCTCTAACTCCATACATATTAAGTGTTTCGGTTTCGGAAGTACGAAAAATATCGTATATTATTAAATTGCTTTATTGGAATCGTCAGGACATTGTTAAGTACACACACACATGCATACACAATAATACTATCTTAAATTTAAAAAAAAATGTAAAATATATTAGAGAAAAGAAAAAAAAAAGATTTTATTCTAGTGCAAGTGTGCTAAAGTTTTATTAATTAATTAATCTCAAATGAGCCTGACCCAAAGGCGAAGTTCGGTTAAGAATATATGTCTTCGCCGATCTTCCACTTAACCCTCAAAAAATTGTAAACTTGCTGAGAAGAGGAACAATCACAAGGATAATTAAATAATCAAAAATTGTTAAACATACATATTGCAGCCCGAACAATTTACAGCATGGTAAACAGTGCATAATGATAGGTGCACACCGAGGTTGTACCTATACGGTAAGGATCTCACGACATAGACCTTCGTATTTTGTATTTAAAAGATTTTAAAGGGTATAATTTTAAATCGGGAGAGAGGGCATTGTATAGTGAAGTTATATTGTAGGAGAAAGATCTTTGGTACATTTTTTTTGTTTTATATTTAAATATTGGCATTGATAATAGCCCTTTTCCACGAATATTAATATTATGAACATCGGTTCGATAGCGAATTTTTTCATGAAGGTATTTTGGAAAGCCTGTAGTGATTATTGAGTGATACATGCAAAGTGCATGTAGTTTTCTTCGCTGCATCATATCTAACCATTGCAATTGTTTCAGTTTTTTGGAAACATGCTCATGACGTCGAAGACCAAAAATAAATCGAACGCAGTCGTTCTGAACAGTTTGTATGCGACGAATGCTTACGGCATCCAAACATGGCCCATATAGCGTATCGCAAAAGTTAAAATTTGACAACACTAAAGCATTGCATAACTTTTTCTTGGAGTTGAAGGACAAATAATGTCTATGTGGATATAGGGCTTTTAAGTTTCCGTATGCTTTACGTATACACATATTAATACGCTCACGAAATCGCAGTTCATTATCCATATGTAAACCTAAATTTCTTCCTACACGTAAACCCAGACTGCATAGCAGGTAAAGTATCATGATCAATAACAAATTTCCTAAGCTGACTTTCTAGACATCTTTCCAGTACTTTAGACAATACTGGTAGTATACTAATCGGGCGGAGATCGGCATATGATTCTGGTTTTCTATTTTTAGGTATTGGGCTAACGACCGCAACTTTCCAAAGATCTGGAAATTCACATTCTAATATGGCCGAATTTATTAAATGTGTTATATAGGGAATTATAAAAGGACAACACATCTTTATAAGCTTGATATTAAAATTGTCAAAGCCCGACGCGTTTGTTTTGATGGCAAGAATTGCGTCAACAACATCATTATTTGTTACGGTTGTAAACATGAACTCTTCTGTACTGTCATTTAGCTTATGTCGATACTGTTGTTCTACGTCATTTATGTCGCTGGATATATGTGGTATTGAGTTAACAAAATATGAATTAATGCTATTAACATTTTGTAGTTCTAAAGGAATTTGTACGGTTTTCTTATTTATAATACCCGAGTTATAGAATCCTTTCCATTCCCCCACACCCTGTATATAATGGTTCAAGTACGCTCTTTTATCGTTTTGTACTGCAGTATTGGTCATATTTCGCAACGACTTGTAATATATCCAGTCATGTGGGTTTCTCGATAGTCGACTATTAGTGAACGCTTTATCTCTAAGTTTCATCAAGAGTTTGGTATTGTCAGATAGCCATGGTGATGCTTTCCTCTTAAAAACTTTTGCTTTGAGTGGAACATGCACATTGAATAGATTATCGAGTAAACTATTTAAGTAAGCCAGTTTATTGTTTACACCATTTATATGAAGAATATCATTTAATGGGAGTGTACGCAAATCATTAGTAAAATTGTCGTAATTACATTGTCTGAAATCACGAAATGTGGTGGGTTGATGTGCTAGCTTATGATGATTTGTGTTTAATACAGCAAAGATTAGGTCATGGTCTGCTATGTCACTAACCGGCATTACATCACAGAGAGCAATTATCGATGTATCATTAGTAATAATAAGATCCAGTAAAGTACTTATACTCATTGGTGTGACTCGAGTCGGAGTATTTATCATTTGGAATAACCCAATGCCCTGCAGCATTAAGTTTAAATATCTTACCGCAGGATCCTTATATTAATGTTAAAGTTCCCTAAACATATCAACAAATCATTATTAAAAAGGACATCTTTAAGAGTTTCTTCAAGTTTATCCACAAAATGAGTAGAATTACTATTCGGGGGTCTATATACACAACCAACGGCTAATTTTCTATGACGCAGTATTAATCTAATCCACAGTTGTTCTACATCACCTGAGCTGGTAATTGGGAGGACAGTAAAACAATTTCTTACGTAAATAGCAACACCTCCACCTCGTTCATACCTATCTCTACGATATACATTATACCCTTCAATATTAACCTGATGATCATGTATACTGGAATTAAGCCATGTTTCCGAAACAGCTAGTATATCAATTTTCTTCTCGATTATGAGATCCTTAACGCTATCAAGCTTGCTAATTATAGAACGGACATTAATATGTGCAACTTTCATTTTATTTTAAAGTAACTAAATTAATGGCACCCATGCTGGTAAATAGTGAGGGCAGCTTTTCCACATTAAACACTTACCTAGCTATATTCTTCCACAGTATTCAGAAATCCAAATAAATACAGTCTTAAGTGATAGGTAGATCAAATCTAGCGAACCAAGTCGGGTATACAATAAAAGATATCGTTGATATGTTCCTCAAGGCAGCAAGTTACTAAAATAAAAAAAAATCGCACGTTAATTCGAAAAGCACTAGCAAGATATTCACAAAGTTATCTTCGGCACACATGCGCCTGCATATTATTCTATATCTTTACAATATTAAAGTAATACATGGTATAGTCACACGAAGACAAAATGAAAGTAAAAAAAAGATGGAACGCACACAAGATAGAAAAAAAGAGAAAAGAGTATTTATTTAATTTATAGAAAATATTTCCTCCACCAACCACAGTTCAGAGTTGGACTGGGTCACTGGGTCACTGGGTCAACTGGGTCACCTGGGTCACTAAATTAAACTGGGTCACTGGGTCGCTGGGTCACGTCATACTCTTTTCAGTTAGACCCAGTGAGCCAGTTGACCCAGTGACCCAACTTGACCCAGTTTGACCCAGTGACCCAGTGACCCAGTTTGACCCAGTGACCCAGTTTGACCCAGCGACGCAATTTCACCCGGGGACCCAATTCGACCCAGTCACCTAGTTTGATTGAATAACGCAGATAAGTCAGTGCCCTCGGTTCAAGTGTACAGATTATGCAATAAATGAAATGCTGGTTTGTTGAAAATAATACTCGATTGCTTGACAACTGCCATTTCTGTGATGTTTGCTTTAATACTGCCGTAAAAAACTTTCCATGTCCCGAATTGTATTAGAATAATGTTATTTCTTTGCTTCAGGGCTTACCAGTTTGCTTACAGGTGTTCATTCACATTTAATTTTTTTCTACTAGTTAGCTTAATCCAAATAAATCTTTTCTCTAAATACTTTCATTGACTACTTGACTACAAACTATAAACAAATGCATTTGATTTTTTTAGGTATTAGTTCTCTTGAATGAAATTGGGCTACGTGCTTGTTGCCGAATATTATTGAGGAAGTTTTTTTTTAAATTATTACTTGAAATTGTTTTGGATGATACCTAACAATAATTTAATTACTGGGCTACCGGGTCAGGACGGGTCACTGAGTAAAGCTGGGTCAAGATGGGTCACTGGGTCAAGCTGGGTCACCGGGTCAAGCTGGGTCACCGGGTCAAACTGGGTCACCGGGTCAAGCTGGGTCACTGGGTCAAGCTGGGTCGGGTCAAACTGGGTCAAGCTGGGTCACCGGGTCAAGCTGGGTCACTGGGTCAACTGGGTCAAGCTGGGTCACCGGGTCAAGCTCGGTCACCGGGTCAAACTGGGTCACCGGGTCAACTGGGTCACCGGGTCACTGGGTCACCGGGTCACTGGGTCAGTAAACTAACTGGGTCACCGGGTCACTGGGTCACTCTATGCTTGACCCAGTCCAACTCTGCCACAGTTACATGTATTATAAAATTAATTTTGATTGTACATCATACATCTAAGAACTAAATTAGTGAACAATCCATATAAAAATGGCCCCAAAAGCACATACTCCTATATAATGATTGCATTGCATGAAGCATTGTACTAAACCATTCATGAAAAATTTACAAGATTAGGATAACACATATCATTAAGCACAGTTGTATGGCGTTAAAATTAACCGGTGTTGGAATTGGCTGAACTGGTCACTATTATTTAGATTTAGATAAAGGCACATTTTAGTGTAAACACAAAGATTAGTCGTTAAGGTCATTTAACGAAAACAAATTTACGATTTTACCTTGGTTTTTCACTTTTAATTTAAATTTCTTGATAGCGGCAGACAGTAGCTCTCCTCTTTTCTTCGTCAGATCTTCACGGATAGTAATTCCGGTTCCCTTTAGTCGCTTTTTTTTTTATATATACCTTGCGACTGAAGTAGTGGTCTTAATCCCTCAGGTAAATTATGGCCCTCCCTTCGGTCGGGCCATAAACTTTACCTTCGGGATTAAAAGTACTACTTCAGTCCCGCGGTATATAATATACTATATTGTGTTTTACTTGCGACTATTCGAAAATGCGTATTGTTTATTTTCTCAAGGAAAAATCCGAGACTATAAGAAACATTTCTGAGATGTTGAAAGTTGTGAAGAATCAACTTGGAAGAGCAGTCAGAATTTTTCAATGCGACGGTGGTTTGGAGTTCGATAACGCTGAAGTGCGGAAACTTATGATGGAGAATGGTATAATATTGTCGGTTACGAATCCATATAGTCCAGAACAAAATGGCTGTGCAGAGAGGACAAACAGGACTGTCGTTGAACTTGCCCGGACAATGCTTCTTGCCAAGAATTTACCGAAACAGTGGGCTGAGGCTGTAAATGCATCTATTTATATTCTAAATCGTACTGGACAGAGTCGTATTCCTGGACAAACACCTTATGAGTTGTTTATTGGTAAAAATATCCACTTAAATAATTTTCACATTTTTGGTACAGATTGCTATGTGCATGTACCAAATGTAAAGCGATACAAATGGGATAAAAAAGGAAAACGTGGAATTTTTGTTGGGTATTCTGATAACGTGGACCGATTTCGGATTTGGTTCAAATCAGAAAACCAAACTGAACCCAGCAAAAATGTAGTTTTTGGGCCGGAATTTACTGGAAGATTGTTGACTTTATTTCCTAATGAAAATCATAGTCATGGTTCCAGTCACGAAAGAAATCAAGTAGTACCACTTCCAGTAGATGTACCCGTTAATCAGGCTGACGATATAATACCTCTAACAGAATTTACGGAAGATATAAACCTCTCGCCAGGAAAGATTGCCGGTCATAGAACACTTGATCACGGTCTACAATCTATGTTTTTCTAAAGATGTGAGCGACTTCCGGGATAGTATCGTCTCAATGTTAAACGAAAAAACTTTTCGTTCAACATTGGCACGATCCTATTTCGGAAGTCGCTCGCACCTTAAGAAAATCATAGATTGTAAATCGACACAGGGTGTGCTGTGACCGGCAATCTTTCCTGGCGAGAGTTATAGATGATGAACAAAGGCAATTGGGTGATCGTACAACATTAAAAGCGCCAGAGCGATTGCTAGAAATTATGATGGCTGAAATAGAAGAACCAAAATGTTATTCTGAAGCAATACAATCTGCAGAACAGAGACACTGGAATAAAGCAATTAAAGGGGAATTAGATTCGCTTGAAAAAAATCAAACTTGGGAATTGGTTGACTTACCGAAAGGTAAAAAAAACCATCTCAAATCGTTGGGTTTACAAGATGAAGCGAAATTGTACTGGAGAAATTGCTCGGTATAAATCACGATTGGTTGTTCGTGGTTTCAATCAGAGATAGGGCATTGATTATGAAGAAACATTCAGTCCAGTGGTACGTTTTGATACTATTCGAATTTTTTTGAGTATTGCAGCAAAGGAACGGTTAAAATTAGCTCAATTTGACGTAAAAACTGCTTTCTTATACCTACGGATTCATTGATAAAGAAATTTATATGCAGCACCCGAAGGTTATGAGGATGGTAGTCAACAAGTTTGCAAATTAAGAAAAGGTATCTACGGTTTGAAACAGTCACCAAGATGGTGGAACAAACGTTTCAAGGATGTTCTAATTTCTTTTGGATTACAAGAGAGCAAAGCCGATTCATGCTTTATTTTCGTCTAAATGAAAATGATAAGTTGATGGTTACTCTTTATGTTGACGATGGTCTTGTTGCTGCCACGAAACAAGAAATCATTGAAGATTTTTGGGACAAATTGAAGGAAGAATTTAAAATAACTATTGATAGAGTCGTTGGAAGTTTTCTGAATATACAAATTGATCGTTTCGATGATGGGTCAATCTTTATAAGCCAAAGAAATTACACTAAAGGACTTCTTCGGAAATATAACATGACAGATGCAAATCCTGTATCGATTCTTATTGAACGATGTCAACTGACAGGGAAAGTACTAAATACTGAAAGAACTAATGTTCCTTACCGAGAAGCAGTAGGTAGTTTATTGTATTTGACTGTAGCTACACGACCTGACATTGCCTTTGCTGTGAATTATATTTCGCAATTTGTAGAAAATAGTCAAAAGCAGCATTGCACAATGGTAAAGAGAATTTTAAAGCATTTGAAAGGTACTATTAATTTTGGTATTTGCTATACTGTTACTGGAAATATTCAAGAATTAGAGTCCTATTGTGATGCCGATTATGCAAGTGACCCTAATACGCGTCGCTCAGTGAGTGGAGTATACTTTTCAAGTTCTGCGGTGGTGCTATTGTATGGACAAGTAGAAGACAACAAAGTGTTTCATTATCGACGACAGAAGCGGAATATGTAGTTGCCAGTGAGGCTGCTAAAGACGCTGTTTGGTTGAGCCGCTTATTTAATGAAATTTCTCCACTAATTTGATGTACCAACTCTTCTGATAGATAATCAAGCGCTATGAAACTTGCTAAAAATCCAAGTTTTCATAAGCGCTCTAAGCATATTGATGTTAGGTCACATTTTATTCGAGAAAGAGTGCAAAGTTGTCAAATGAAGATTGAACATGTATCTAGTGAAAAACAATTGGCAGATATTTTAACAAAACCAATTGCAAGACCCCGTTTTCAAGAACTTCGAACCAAAATTCGAATGAATGAAGTTGAAATTGGATAGAAGTTATGTTAGGTATATCTGTTATTCGTTACAAGAATTTTGTGTTTTAGGGGAAGTGTAGAAAAGAAAAACATTAAATTCGTTAGATCAAGGTTTCAGTGTGTCAAATAAAAGATTTGATTGTTGACTGTACGTTTTTAGCGCATTTTTGCAAATTTACTTGTAAAAAGTAGCTTTTAATCTCACTGTGGCTGGCTGGCTGGCAGCAAATATGGGCGCATAGAAAAACTCTTGTAGAAAGGCAACGGGTGTACGTGTATCTACAAGGCCGTGTAATTTGTCAACCTTAGGGACCATGATGTGGGGTTGGCGACATCTGGGCGTCATCCTCGAGCGTAGTTTACTAACGTGAAGGTTTTTCAGTTTTTTTCTATCTTCTATTACAGTTTTGCTCCGATTCTTTTCAAATTGGTGTCGTCAGAAAGATGTAAACGCGCACAACTCCCACGTGGCGTTTTGTTTTTTGTCCTAGGGCGCGAAATTAACGACCTTTTTCTAGGCGCGCGCGCGCGGCTTCGAGAGGTAGCCAACTTCGGGCACCTTTTACCTTCCGTTGCGAATTTTGTCACGCGGTTTAACGTTTCGTAAATCTCGAATCGCTGTCTCTTTCTCGTGTCGCCAATAGAAGCTCGAGCAATGAGAAGTGCCCCAAAAATTAAAATCCACCAAAATGTGGGTGTAATATAAGTATGCACCGAAAAAGAAAATGTGGTAGCTCCGACAAGATCTAACTGATGGTGGAGTGAAAACTTCAAACGCGAATTTGGGGTGAACGGGGCATCGGAAGTGAGTGCCGTCAAAGGGAATGTGGTAGCCCCCGTCACGATCTTCCTGAAGGGAGAGTCAAATATTCAAACGCGAATTGTGGGTGAACGGGACGTCGGAAGTGGGTACCAACAAAGGGAATGTGGTAGCCCCCGACACGATCTTACTGATGGTGGAGTCAAATATTCAAACGTGAATTGCGAGCGAACGGGACGTCGGAAGTAGATACCGATAAAGGGAATATGGTAGCCCCCCGACAAGATTTTACTGATGGTGGAGTCAAAACTTTAAACCCAAATTGCGGGTGCACGCGGAAAGTGGGAAGCGGGTACCGACAAAGTGAATGTAGCCTTCGACAAGATCTTTTATTGATGGTTGAGTCAAAAGTGGCTAATAGAATACTGATCTGCCACATAAAAATACGCTGAAGTCCCTTCGATCTCACACGAGGACTTGACTAATTTTTTTAAATTAAAATCGTCTTGAATATCTCATCACCTTTCTCGTCTCGATTTTTTCAACAGTAATAATATGATAGACCATAGAAGTGCCGTGGGTGTTACGGGAGTTAAAATCCTCTAACAAGACGGTGTGGGTGGGTGGGGGGATATAGACAAAGAAAATCATTCAGAGGAGTATAATCTGGGGGTTGTAAAAACTGAAAAGGTTAATAGAGAAATTTGGAGTAAACCGCAGGGATTGTGACCTTAATTTAGAAAATTACAAGTAATATTGGGGTCTTAAGGTACGCGCACATAGAACGGCATCGGACGGACGGTACGGACGGTATTCTACGCATTTTTAATAGGGTATCGCCCATAAGTTATCGGAATCGCCGGAAGAAATTCACTTTAAATCTTAAAATGTCTTCGTGCAGCCTTCGTTCTGGAAGAAGAAAAGCTAAAAAAAAGGATTGGACGTAAGTATCGTAGGCCTCGATTGGACTGATTTTAATTCTTGTTTCTCAATTGGCGCCGGATTTTTAAAATCCGATCCGTACCGTCCGTCCGATCCCGTTCTATGTGCGCTTACCTTAAACCCTTCCTTCTGAACTACTCACTGTCAAACAACTAACTACTGATGTTTTTCTTGCTCAAGAGGTGCCTCAACCTTCTTACCGCACGATAAGCAATTTTCAAATATCGACGCCTCTTGGTTAATTCTATTTGTACCACATTCAAAGTTGCAGTTTTGCACTTATTATTTGACAAAATTAGCGTACAAAAATGTACACGCTCTTTTAACAACCTACGGCAAGATGGTCCTATTAGGCCAACAGGCTCCGTTTCTTCCTTCTTTTTCCTATTTAAACAAAAAAACTCCTACTTCCGCCTACTTCAAAAGTAATCTCCGATAAGAAGCACTTGAGTGTCCCCGCTACCAAAACAAAAAAACGCGCAAAAGAAATCGTGCACATGTATGCTTTATCAGCGCTTTTCGAAAATCAATTAACCTTCGCGGTAACGACTTCCTTATCACTTCCAAAAAAGATAGCATTTAAATGCTCTCGACCAGATGTTATTTAATTTTAAATAACGCAAACTTTACATTTTATAATTTAAATACAAACGGATGATAAAATTTAAACAAGGAATTCCGAAATTGAAAATAATTCTAAAATGGGAAAATAGACACTAAACTGCCAAATTGCGATTAAATAAACCAATTTTGTGCTTATTTGTAATGAGATCCTGCAGATTTAATTCGCACATACAGGATGGCCCGTTATTAATTATCTTCGGTATTATTTCAGCCTGAATAACGTTCACACCTGACGTTTATTTATTTATTCATTTATTTATTTATTTATTGTCCCTCTTCTTCTGGGCCCTCAACAAACTTTCGCCCAATTACAGAATGAAACGCTTAATGCTTTTTAGAAGGGCCCCTGCAGAAGATGTTAAGTTGTTCTGTACTACTCCGGTATTTACTTTACGAATTAGGAAAACTGCAGGGAAAGCTAATTCGGATTAACCGGCAGCCGCCCTGAGCGATTACAGGTTTGAATAATCGATAATCGATAATTAAAAATACTGATTAATTGATTAATCAAATAACCGATTAATAAAATAATCGATTAACCAAATACTCGATTAATCAAAGAATCGATTAATCAAGTAAGCGATTAATCAAGTAATCGTTTAATCAAATAATCGATTAATTGATAAATCGATTAATTTAAAAAACAATCAAACCCAACTATCGTTTGTCGTTTGATTATAATCGCAAAACTACCAACGACATTATGAAAATAAACATAGGGAAAATTAAAGATAGCAGAAACGCTCATTTCGACGACAGCGCTCACTGCGGGCACCTCAGTTCCCATGTTTATTTTGAACTTGATTTGGTAAAAACTGTTTTTTACAAAAGATTATGCATTACATTGGTTCATCGCTGTTCTTAAATAAGTCAGAACAAAGCGCTCTCGTTTGCAAGAAATTAAAACCGTAATCAATCATTTATGGTCACCCCGTATACTCATCATTATTCTAGATTACGTGGTTTTATCAACTGATAAGAAATCGATGGTCTAAAAGTATGTAATTCAGTTTCTTTAAATAACGCGTCATATTCCATAATTTGTAACAAAAAATGCTTGCGGAATAAGTTTCACAAAAGTATTCCATTAACATACCAAACATAGAGAATTAGCTTAGGTAATTACATTAAAATGACATTTAGGTGAAAGTTGTATTTAAATGCATGTTTTGTTTTAGGTAAGGCTCAGTTCAGGCTACTCCGCTACGTAACCTCGTTTAAAATGATTTTGACGATTTTAATTAGTGTAACGATAATTCTGTTGTATCTCAAAATGCGGCGGACTTATAAATATTGGAAAAATCTGAATGTGATCTACTTGCGCCCTTGGCCGCTGTTTGGATATATGGCACCTAGTGTACTTCGCTTGAAGGCGTTCCCGTTGATTCTGCAGAAGGTCTACAACGTATTTCCAGAACAGAGGTAAGCTAATTTGTGAACTTTTTACGCTTACTAACGCCTTTACCGCGTGATAATTGCACACTAAGATATAAAATTATTATACCGTATGTAATGGACGAACACAATGTGTCGTTTCGGGACCTAAATTGATAAGACATTGTCCATCAAATATATCTAGAATGCTTTATCGAGCCAAAAAATTAAATAATGTGCCTACCTACATGACACACCCTGTACAAAAGTTTTAGTAGGGCATGCAGGCATTTTTTGAACACTCCCCTATTTGTTTATTATCGAGTTTATGCGGTTTACTTGATACACACATTAAGTGTTATACAGGGTGCTCCTAAGTATGATATGCATACGGAAGGGGTTAACTATTTGGCTTATTTTATGACTAAAAGTTCATATAAACAACGTTGATTCACAAACCCTTTGATCTACAGGGTGTTATAATTTCACGATCTCACGGTATATATCGTGCAGTTTTTTTTAGAGATTTAGCACAAATTCGATTCAGCGGTTTATACACAGTCGATCGTCAAAAATCAGCAATCGTTACCAACGACCCCTTACTCTTAAAAGTTCTAAAGAATCAAATTCTGCGTCAAAACGGCGAAATTTAACATAATTTTAAAATTTTGCCTTCAGATCTGAATCTGCAATAGTAGACCCTAAAAGAATACTGGCACGATCCGGTTTCGGTGGGAGGCCAAATTGAAGTAGGTACATAATTATTTTTCGATCATTCTTTCTAAAAAGTTGAAAGCGAATTTCCTCCAAATGTTTGGAGCTGACGCTAGGGGTTGAGACCGAAAAGAACCGGGACCGAAACCGATTGCGTTTACAAGCCCCTCTCTTGTAGGTAGATCAGGAGTGGCGTTGGAATCCATGATATATGAGATCACGTGTTGGGGGCCCGTATGTTTTTGAAACACGTTTATAAACTTCATTTTGCATTGTCAAAAAATATAAGGGTGGTGTCACAGGCACTGAAGGCGTGAAGGAATGTTTTTGTGCTTCTTCAGAGAGCTTAGAACTGTTGGGGGTGTAAAAGGTTAATGTGTCTTGGTTATCTTTTCCAGGCTTCATGTGACGGGTTCCTCTAGCAGAAAGTCTTATATTTACTTTTACGTTTTTATTGGTATTTTATTTGGAGGAGCCGTTTCTAACATACAGTTTCAGCAACTTGAACTTAAATTCATTTTTCCGCTACGTTGGTATTGCTGATTTTTGGCGATCGATTGTAGCTAAACCCCCCTTACGAAAGTGGACGAAACGATGAGTTTTTGTTCAGCATTGATGCGATCCTATCCCGGAAGTCGCTCGCATCATTTGGAATGAAATTTTACATGAATTCGAAGAAATTGATTAATCCGACCTCGTATGATGAACCAAAGAAATCGAACGGATATAAAAGTGCAACAGGAATACGGTTGAGTGAAAATCAATCTGAGGTCTGATGGATATGAATAACTGAATATCGAACGAATCTAGAAGAATTGAAGAATATGGACATTCCGGAGAAACGAAAGATTTTAAAGTACTTGAAGACAATGAAGAATCGTAAAAATCCATATAGATATTCGGAAAGATCCCCAATGTTCGATAAAGTTCAATGATTGGAAGAATTTGACATATTCGAAGAAACGGACCGGTCGGAAAAATTGGAGGGAAAGGAAGAAGACAACCAATGTGAGGAATCCATGAAATAATCCGAAGAATTAGAGTGCAGGGCGCAGCAATTTCAATTCCAAATCGAAGAAACGGTCTCATGTTACCGGGCGGGGTAACGTAAGTGGCAACGGAGGTTGAAAACGTATATTACACAATATTTACAAATAATACAGAGGCTATATGTACATATATAAGATCGCTTCTGGCACGTGGGATGGCGCCGGACTTGACTACGGTCAAGCCGGGAAGTGATGGCGTGCGGAGACGGTACTTGAGCCCAAGCGACCAGCCTCAGTCGCTTGTATAGGGTAAGGTAGGCTTGCCCAGGCACAAGTGAAGTTCCCCTGTCGGTGCGCTGCTTATAAACGATTTCCGGTAGAGGCGTCTGGCGACGCGGCCAATAGGGCGCTAGTGGATGGTGGGGTGGAAGTTTCAACCCCTCTCCTAGTCGTCGTAACAGTATCCCCCCCCTGTAAAGGGGTTGCGACGGCGGGGTGCAGGCGCTGTAGCAAACGGCGGTGACGGGGTTGTCGTTGGTTCCGTGGTGGCGTCGGTGAAATGATTCTTGGCGGAAGTTCCGGTACTGGTGCCGGGGTGGGTTGGTTGGGTGCAGGGCGTAGATCGTGTACGTGCACCTTTACCAGTTCGTTTCCTCGCCTTATCCAGTACGCGTTTGTGCCCGCCAGCGCTTCGATGGTGTAGGGACCTGTGTACTTCATGTGAAAGTTCCCGGAGTGTTGGTCCCTGGATCTTTCCATCACTCCGTCGCCTACTTGGTACTGGGTGCGGGCTGGCCCGTAGTTCGCGTACCGGCTGCGGGATCGTGCCTGGTTCCTGTGCACCGTCTGTACGACCTCCTCTCGGGCTTCTCCTGTCGGTGGAGGTGGTCGATCCCTGGCTTTCCACTCTCCTGGCCTGGGTAGGTCGTAGCCTAGCAGCGCGTGGCTCGGCGTGAGTCCAGTAGCGGCGTTTCTCCTCGTACGTAACGTGAACATGACAATGGGTAGTACGGCCGCCCAGGCGCTGGGGCTTTGTCCCACCAGATGAGTGCGGAGGCCCTTTTTGATTTCTTGGTTCCGGCGTTCGACGGGGTTCGCCTGCGGGTGCCATATGGGCGTTGTCCAGTGCATTGCTCCCCACTTCCGAAGTGCCGCGTCCCATGTCACTGATGTGAATTGCGGTCCGTTGTCTGAGATGATCGCTCTCGGGAAACCATAGCGTGCGAATACCTCGTGTTCCAGGATTCTGACCACTGTTGGAGCGACTGCTTCCTTTACTGGAAATGCCTCCACCCACATGCTGAAGAGGTCCGTGATCACGACTATCTGGCGGTAGCCTGTAGGTGTGGCGTCGTAGGGGCCCATCAAGTCTACGGAAACCGCTTCCCAGGGTCGTGTGGGTTTGCGTGGGCGTACGGTGGCGTCCTGGACCGGGCCTCTTTTGACTGCCGCGCAAATCCAACATGCTCGTACATAATTCCGCACCGTGTCTCCCAGTTTCGCCCAGTGGTAATGTGTCATTATGGCCCGTTCCGTTTCTTCGGCTCCTGGGTGTCCAGCTGTGGCTGCGTTGTGGTACGCTTCTAGTACCGCTGGTTGAAGGCTGCAGGGGACTACGAGTAGGTTCCCTTGGGGTGCTTTGCGGTAGAGGTAACCGTTGTCCACCGTGTAATCCCGGTTGAACCTTGCTTGTGCTGGTGTCGCTGGTCCTTCCTGCTGTATTCTGTGCCAGGTGCGTACCAGAACGATGGCGTTTTCGTTTGTCTTTTGGCACTCCTTCACATGGTCCGCCAAATTGGCCACTTCCACTGCCGCGATTACCGGGGTGCTGTTGGTTTGTTTGGACTCGTGTGTGGTCGTAGGTGGCAGCATGCGGTTTACGTCTTCTGCCGTGGCTTCTTCGGCTTCTTCTGCTGATGGGTGGCGGGACAGGTGGTCTGGAAGCTCGTTTTCTTTCCCCGGACAGTGGACCACATCAAATGTAAATTCTTGGAGCCGTAATGCCCAACGAGTTAGCTTGCTCTTTTCGTCTTTTGTGCGATCCAGCCACAGGAGAGCGCGGCTGTCTGTCTTCAACGTAAAACGTCTATCTTCCAGATATGGCCGGTATCGTTTAATGGCCCACACTACTGCCAAGCACTCCTGTTCGTTGATATGGTAGCGTCTCTGCGCGTGGTTAAGTTTGGCACTGGCGTAGCTGATAATTTTTTTCTCTCCGGGGTGGGGTTCTTGAAAGAGTACGGCCGCAATCCCGTTTTCGCTGGCGTCGGTTTGCAGCACGAATGGAGTGGCGAAGTCCGGACGGCTGAGTTGGAGTGGTTTGCTAAGTGCTGCTTTTAACTGGCTAAAGGCGACGTCGGCTGCCGCTGTCCATCGGAAAGGAGTGTTCTTTGTTAGTAAGTTATCCAACGGTGCTTGTAATTCGGCACACCGGGGCACGTACTCTCGTAGCCAGTTGGTCAATCCTAGAAAACTTCTTAGCTTCTTCCTCGAGGTGGGCCGGTCTGCGGTCCGGATTGCTTCGATGTGTTCCTGGCACGGGCGGTTCCCGTTCGCCGTGATGTTGTGGCCCAGGTATTGGATCGTTTGCACCCCGAAGCGACACTTTTCGAGGGACAAGCGGAGTTTGTGGCGTTGCAGTCGTTCCAGCACGAGGTGTAGATGTTTGAGGTGCTCGTCCCAGGAGTCTGAGTAGATTATTATGTCATCCAGGTATACCATGACGAATTTCCGTAAATACCCGGCGAGAACGTCCTGGGTCATTAGCTTCTGGAACGTAGCAGGTGCATTCTTGAGCCCGAACGGCATTACTTTGAATTGATAACTCGCTCCATCAGGGGTTGAAAACGCGGTGAGATGTCGGGATTCCGTCTCTAGCGGCACCTGCCAGTAGCCTGATTTGAGATCCAGGCTGGAAAAAACTTTGGCCGTCCCCAGGTCTCGGAGGGTCTCCTGTATGACTGGCAGGTTGGTGCTCTCGTCTTTTGTGATGGCGTTTAGACGACGGTAGTCGATGCAGAATCTCGGGCGGCCGTCTTTTTTCTGAATTATGACGATGGGCGAGCAATATTCGGACGTGCTGGGCTCGATCACCTGCGCTGCTAACATAGCTTCCACTTCATCCGCGATGACCTTCTTTTTGTTTGGCGAATGTCGATATGGCGGAAGTCGGAAGGGCGTTGTTTTGGTGACTCGGATGCGATGTGTGGTGGATGCTGTTGTTGTGGGCGTTGCAGGATCGGCAAGTGTGCTACCGAAAGTTTCCAGCAGTGTGGCCAGGCGTCGATCGAGTGGTGGTTGGAACCCGTGCTTGACTCCGGCGAAGTTTATGGAGGCGCTCGTTGT